CTTTCTCTTAACTGAATACAAACAGGAGATGATGCCGGCCATTATGTTGAGTCTATCCAGAACAATGTGAATACTGTTAAAGCCTGGGATTTATGTTAAAATCACTAAGAAATCTATTGAGATATTTGTCCAGATCCAGTTATAGGTCAAAAGGTCTTGCAAGTGTCCTGGTTCGAGACTGTTCCTCGGCGAGTATTATTGACATTCACGACAAGTGAGAAAGCTTATCTAGGTTGTGTCCTATGCAGCCAGTTTGTGCTGGTCACCCGATGCACAGTTATCATCAACAGATCACGGCCAAGTAGACCATAATTGTGAATTTTGCAAAAACTTCGGGTACGAAACGAAGCTGCGCCTCATTAATGGCGGCGTCCACCTGTGCTCTGGCGCAGCCCGAGACGCCAGCCTCTGCTGTAGTGCTTAACCCATCATCTCTTGTTGAGCATGGCTGGAACTCCACCAAAGTGGGCGACAAAGTTGAATGAGCATTGAAATTTAGAAAAGGAAGAATAATTCTTTTGTTGGAGGAGAGTTGTCGGGCGTGTTGGATATTGTCAATTGTTCTGAGCTGTGACAGGCTTGCCGTATAAGTAGCGTTGACACTTCTCCCCCTTGACAAGTTCCTGTAGAGCTCCTTCTTGACTACCGGATAATCCTGGTCTCTCTCCGTGTAACGGTGTGATTATCTTCTATTCGCGTGGCCCAATTATTTAGAGCGCATCATTCTAACGGATGTTTCTCTGGCATCGGCTGTTGGTAAAGAGCGTACGTCGAAATTCAGGGAGCGCACGTTGTGCAGCCAAGATGTATCGGATGAGGTGTTCGGCGGCATTTTCGTTTGTCCCTACCCAAGTATGCAGTTTGTGCGTCCTAGCTAATTAGAAAGCCAGTAATGCAAGCAAGCCGAGGGATGATGATGAGACAGGAAGAGACAGAGGAACTTTTGAACATTCGAGCTCGTCACAGGGGAACGGGCCAAGTCCAGAACAAGTCCAGACGGAATTTGCCGGGTCAGACATGAAACCGTGAGAATCCAATTGTTTGCATGAAAAACCAGTTTTCCTGCGCCCTTACGAACGGCTGCTGCTCACGTAACAGCACGCCGCAGGCGCTTCACGCCCTCCTGCACATTCCAGCTGAACGTAGTCTCATCGTCCACGTAAATGCCCACCCATAGCTGCTTGCCTGAGCGCACGAAGTCGTAGTTGATCTGCCACTGCAGTTTGAGCTCATGAGCTGAAGGGGCATACAGAGGTGCAATGATGGGAACTCCACAGGGCGTGTGCGGATATGGAATGTTGCCTTGTGCCTGGCATCAGGATGCGCTGGAATATGGAAAACGCTTAGCCGAAGTCAGACGATGAATATTCTGCGGAACGATTCAAGAGGTCAACCAATTTGTCGGTCTGGGGCCCCGGAAACTTTTGCCACACTGTTGCTTTGTTGAGAATCTTGAAGCCAAGCACCACCTATCGTTCTTATTCGTCGCCAGCGCCGGACTCTGTTCAAATACTCTAGTTGGCAGTCCAACTTTGTTACTCCTCAGCATTTCGCCTGCTCGCAGCCTGATTTGGTCTTCAATATGAGCGGATATATTATAGCTCGAAGCACAGCCTTAGGCTGTGCAAAGAGTGAATTCGCTCGGTTACAATGGGCGTACAACGTGTAGCCTGCCCACTGAAAATTCCTTGCTGCTGAGCACATGTGAGAGGATGTCCTTGATCTGTGCCCACATCTTATGTTCTTCGGGTAATAATTAAGCTGATTCCCCCGAAATGCGGGTATCAAGACCATTGTGAACCAGTGCATGCGTTTCTCCGCCGTTTCCGGCGGCGCCTCTGTACTGCATTGGAGCCGCATCTCTACTTTCTTGAGGCACTGATTCCTGTTCTCCTACAGTACAGATGCAAATGTTCCTGGGCGTGCTGACAGATGCATTATCTCAATACTTTCCCACACAGAGAACTCATCGCCTTCGCTTGGTGGCCGCGTGCGCAACTTTCACTGAATCAACCATTGCATAGCTGATATGATCTCGTGGTGAACTTCTCCAGTGCAGAACTCCTGTTTCATGGTTATACAACAAATTTCTGAATTAAGTCAGCATTTCGTCCCACTGCTCTTACCTGTCAAAATATCGTGTCTGCCACCGGCGACGGTTGGTGGTAGAGTCGCCTTTAATGAAAAGACAAGCACGCTCTACCATTGCACCTTTGCTTCGAATATCAGTGCCGCTTCGCAGCCTGTTTAAATTAGCGATAGCGACACTTGAGCGCAAGCGCGAACTTGGAAATGCTGCACAGACTCGACTCTCAGGCGCTGCTGCCAGCTTGTCTCACGTGGCGTCTCACGTTGTGGGGCAACTGGGGCACTCTCCTAATTGCTTTGTTTGTTACCCTGGGAACGCTGTTCAGAGTCTTGTATTCCCAGTTTCAATGTTGTTTTCATGGGCCTGCAATCCTCAATGAAGTGGCCTTGTCTGCTGTAAAAGAAGCAATATGGCCGCTCGGCTAATTCCCTATAGATTCTGAGTGGTGCATCAGCTCCCCTATTCTAATCTTTTCTGGGTTGGGGTGTCACCCAGTGCCACAATATCCACATGCCCCATACCTAAGTCGCTTCTAAAGCCCTTTTCCTCTCGTCACCTACTGGGGTGAGAGTGGCATTTTGAATGCATAATTGTTCCATCATCTCGAAGTTGTTCATCCCTTGGATACGTGTTGGTGAGCCAGCCAGATACGGATTGCTTCTCCATGGGAGAGCTCTGCCATGAACCACTGATAGTACCTTTGCGACTACACTATGGTACTTCAGTTTACCACAGATTGTCCCTTTTGGACGTAGCGCTGTATCGGTAGCTTGCTTGGTCTACTCCTTTTTGCTTCTGCCCTTTCCTGCTCCCTGCTGATCGGGGGGAAGAGCTTTCATAGCCCGGCTGTGATCTTGAAAAGCCCTTTCCTGGTTATGACAATCTTTGTCGGGCTCTGTCTTCTAAAAAGGAGGCCATTGGCAACCGTAGCTGCTCAGGCGCATTTTGAAGTTGAACGTACACATCCAAATTGACATGACGTTCTTCCACAACGCTTCCCTTGTGGTGCTTGTCATATTTGGATTCCCGAAAAGGCGGAGGCATTCTTCAATTTTGTTCGTGTGTAAAACATTTTTGGCAGGACGGGCAACTGATCTTGTGCTAGTTCTCATGCGACAAGGCACCAAACGGTTGGCTGCTGCGAGAAGCAGGGTAGAACATGATCGACCGCCATAATAGGAAGGTAGAGAATTTCTGAAGGCTTGGTGTAGACTTTCGTTAAAAGCATCACAACGCCTTTTGAGGCTAATTGCACCGGGAGGCGCGGCGGCTGCACTGCTCGTCCCTGCCCCGATGAATCACGCGGTACTACCAAGTGCAAAACGAATCATTGATTTTATCAGAGGACATTCATGAGCTGCAGCAGAGCCAAAAGAGTTGTGAGGAAAGCCCCCGACCAGGTGCTGAACTCTCGTCGAGTCCCCAGGTGTCCAGGGCATAACCGTACAAGTGCCTGAGTCTGGCGCGGAGACGGGGGTATTCAGCACGCTTATGGACTGGAGCGAGGGCAAATTGCTTTTTCCGGACGCTTCTCGGAAGTCTTCTGACACCATTACCGCTCACGACGGTCCACCGACGAGACCGGCGACCCTCCCTACACCTCCTGCACGGCAACCCTTCGTGGAAGCATAACAATTTCCCCTTTTAATAACACTATTGAGACCTAAAAACACTTCCTTGTCTCCTAGTAGCCTGCCCTCGCTCAGTCTGAGTCTTATGAACCGACCACAGCCGGCCGTGGCATATACCGACACAAGCAATAGGCAACAACACTGGCTCCGAACCTGTAAAATGCACTAATACTTCACTCCAGTGTTTTTGTCCTGCACGTTGTGCCATTTGTGCTCGACAATGGTCATATAAACTGCAGGCGGCTACCTCCCAGGCAGTCCTCCCTACCTGTGAGGCCTGAATGGCGGATATGGGTTCACACGCTGCACTACTGAGCGAAAGGGTAAAATAAGACGAGTTCGGACATATCAAACAGTCTAAACTACGATGATGCCTAAATGCAGTCGACTGCTCTGTAACACAACACAGCGAGTTGTTCCATCGAGCGCGGCTTCGCACAACTGCCGGCTAACACTCGCCAAATGGTTCACGGGAACCCTTGTGTGCTATAGCCGCACATGTTGACGGTGGAGAAGTAAATCCATCAAAATTATTCGCATCAGAACGAAATGGGGGAGACTGCTCATGCTGGCCTCAACTGGTTGCCTGAGTGGAGCTGGGCTGCAACAACTATAATGCTGTGTGGGGGGTATGCTGCTCTGCCGAGCCACATAAGCAGTCCCTCGCAAGACGCATGCAAAAGGTCCCGATCATGTTGTGCAGGAAAACAGAATAAACCGTGTAGAGTGAGAAAAGGGCAGTAAGACGCAAGGGACCCTACCACACAGCGGGCAGCAGTCGCACCCTCACCCCCCACGTGAACTCTCGTCCGGCTGTGGCCTGCCACTGGAGTAGCCACAGCTGGCATCGCTGTCCAGGGGGCTGATAACGTTTCTTTTCAACTTGTTCGGTAGAACTTGTCAGATTCTTCACAGGCAGAGTACGTTTTGCCTGTGGAGGGGACGGCTAAGCAGCAACTCGTCAGTTGTGGCCAGCAGCCGTTTTGAGTACTCTGTGCTGCGCCTTTCCGACTTGGCTTGCGCTCCAGTTTGTTTGATTGCTTCAAGGTTCGGCTTTTCTCTTTCTCTGGCGGGTGTACAGTGACTCCAATATCGAGTTCTTCAGTTCCCTTACTCCCATGCCGAGTGCTCCTAGGTCGCGCCGGGTCGTCCAGTACACACACTGCCTGGGCGTCTACGCTTTCCGACGTAGCTAGTCGGGGCCCAGTTATGACAGTCTTAGACTGTGCCCGACGTAGCTTGATCAATACGGGGAAAGTTCTTTTGCTGCACTGTAGGCAATGGCCTTGCAACAGCAACAGCAGGGAGCCCAGCAGCAGCCGCTGTTGACAATGGGGCTGCAGCAGGGGCAGCAACAGCAGCAACAGCAACAGCAGCCTCCAGCGGGAGGAGCAGCAGCTCCTCCCCCACAGGCTGGTGCTGCTCAGCAGCCTCGCTTGCAGTTCCCGCAGAACCAGCTACCTGCCAACCTGCATGTTCAGCAGCAACTGCTGCGGATGCAGCAGCAACAGCAGGGCATCACGGCGAAGCTTCAAGGAACTGCTGGTGCTTCGGGCGTCCAGCAGCGGCTCTTGCACCTGGAACAGCAGGAGCAGTTCCTACAGCAACAGCAGCAGCAGCAGGAACCTGAAAAGGTTCATTGGGTCCAGGTAGGCCATTTGCTGTAGCTTTGCCTGCGTACTGCTGGTGACTTTGAGCGCCTGTATACACTTGACATGCTGAGAATTGCGCTGTTCCCTTTCCTTAGCGGATCTCCTGTGCTGTGATGTTGAGCCGGAAATATGCACAAATAGTACCTGCCTGCGCTGCTGCTGGGGTTGGTTCTTGTATGCAGTGTGACCGCTGTGACAAGTGGCGCATCGCTCCATATGAGATTACATTGCCAAGTTGGGTGTGTGAACAAAACACTTGGGACCGGCGGTACGCTTCCTGTAGTGTGCCGGAGCAGCCAGACCCGGCTGCGCCGATGCAGCAGCAGCAGCAGCAGCCGACGCGGAGTCAGCAGCAACTGCTTCAACAGCAACAACTGCAGCAGCAACAGCTGTTACAGCAGCAGCGCCTCGCTAGTGGCGCTGCACCGAAACCCAAAGCGAAAGCAAAGGCGAAGTCCAGGGCTGCGTCCAAAGGAACAGCGGCGGTGCAGCGGCCGATTCAGAGCGGCAATTGCACAGGAGATGGAGTAAGTCTCCCTGGTTATGAAGAGATCTCTTTGGGATTCTGTTTAGGTCACTCTGTAGGGTTCATGCATGTGCTAACAGCCCTTGTGCGCCAGCCCATACATGTGACTAAGAGTCGTTTTTGCCGTCGCAGGGTTCGGCAGCAGCTCCAGGAGGAAAGCTTGTTCTTGCTCCGGGGCTCATACCTGCTAAGGATGCTGCTGCGTCTGCTGCTGCGCTTGTGCGACAGAACCTCTTGCAACAGCAACTGGGGCAGCAACAGCAACGCGGTGGTCCAGCTACCGCGAGTAACCTTCCCGCCCTACAGCAACAATTGCTACAACAGCAACTTCAGCACCAGATGCAGCAAGCCCAGCAACAGCAACTTCTTCAGCAGCTACAGCAGCAACAACATCAGCTGCTGCAGCAGCTGCAGCAGCAGCCACCTGTCGTGTACGACAACTGGGTGCAGTGCGATGCCTGCAACAAATGGAGGAGGGCCCCTAATCCGATCACCAGCGACAAGTGGTTCTGCCGAATGAACACGTGGGCTCCGCAGTTCGCTTCTTGCGAAGCTCCTGAGGAGCCTGATCCTGCGCAGCAGGATCAGCAGCAGCAGCAGCAAAGTCAGCAGAGGCTTCTCGAGGCAGCAGCGGCACTCCAGAGACAGCAGCAGCAGCTCCAGCAAAACGCAGCAAAAAGACAGCGCACAGCGAGTGTCTCCAGGGCTCCAGAAGCGACAAAAACAGACTCGAAGGCTGAGCCGCCAACGCAGCTTCTTCGGCAACAACAGCTGGTTGCCGCTGCGGCCGCATCTGGCCAACGCAGTGCCACGCCTGCGGCGCAGCAGCAACTGCAATTGCAGCAGCAACTGCAGCAAGGCAAGCTCACGCAAGGCCAACAGCAGCAACATCCTGGAGCGTCAGGTTCCACAGGAGCTGGGGGACAACTGCAACAGCTGCAGTTGTTACAGCAGCAGCAGTTGCAACTGCTGCAGCAGCAGCAGGTTCGGCTGCTCGACGCTGCCCGCAGGGCCACGCCCAATGCTGCAGCGGGCGCTCCCGGGACTGCAGTGGCTGCGGCTTCCGCGTCAGGTGGGGCGGGCTCAGGCAGTTCAGAACGGCGTGAAGGAGTACCAGAGACAAATGCAGCGGCAGCATCAACGACGGAACGCGGTGGGAAGTGGTTGGAGTGCCGTTCGTGCAAGAAGTGGCGCCGATTACCTCCAGACGTGGATGCCGAGGCCCTTCGCCCCAAGTTCTTTTGTTATTTGAACATGTGGGACCCGCAGCACAATACCTGTGCTTCACCACAGGAGCCGTGGCAGCAGCTGCAGCAGCATCAGGAGGTACAGGGGAAGACTCCACCAGCAGCAAATGCTTCTTCGGCGGCTCCGCTGCAAAAGGCTCCGCACCAGCCCGCACCGTCAGATGCCAACAGGCAGGATAAGGCGGACAACGTAGCCGCAACGCCAGCGCAGCAACAGCAGCTTCCCAGACCGGGGGGACAGCTGCAAGGAGAAGCTGGAGGAGCTGCTTCTCTTCATCAGCAGCTACAGGAACAGCAGCTGTTACTTCTTCGTATGCAACAGCAGCAGCAGCGTGCTGCTTCCTCGTCGGGTGTGGCAGGGGGCAGTACAACGAAACCTGGGTCAGGAGCTTCCGGAGCCGCAGCTGGGCCAGAAGACGATGACGAAGAGGGAGAAGACGACATCGAGGGAGAAGGCGATGAGGATGAAGACAGCGAAGATACTGGTGACTCATCGGATTCCGAATCGGACAGAGGCGGTGGGGGAGGCCCAAGTGGTGGCGCTGGCGCTGGGGGTCCCTCCTCAGGAGGCTCGAGCGGAACAGGTGCGGGGGCGGGGGGAGGGGCAGCTCGTACCCCGCAGCCGCCCACACAGGGGCCCCCAGGGACAGGCAGCTTCGGCGCTACTGCCGCAGGAGGTGGGGGCGTTGCGGCTGAGGTTGAGTTTGGGGCAGCCAAAGCCGTAAAGGATTCCAAAATTCATTGCAACCAGCGCACAGTGAGCGGGCATTCTGCTCGTTTCTTCGATGTGTTGATTGTTGGTGGAGGTGTTGCGGGGCTGGCAGGGGCCCTTCATTTCCACAGGGCAGGGGTGGATTACCAGGTCATCGAGGCGAGGGGTCGTCTGGGGGGACGCGTGTGGTCGATCACACTCCCAGCGTCTTCGGAGGAGCAGCGGCAGCGGCAGCAGAAAAGGATTGGCAGGAAGGCATGCGGTAGAAAGGGAAGCTTGAAGAAGGACGGCAGCGTCTGCATTGATGGAGGGGCCAATTATATGCATGGACTGACGGGGAACGAGAATGACGTCAGATTGAAGCCTCGCAGAAAGGGCTGCAGCGTCTTTCACCTTGCGGCTGCCTCTCCAGAGTGCCGCGTCGCTGTAGTTCCTGGAGAGACTGGATGGGAAAATCCCTATTACTTTGATTGGCTAAGAGGGGGGCGGCGTTTCTGCATGTTGGTAGTGTCGCTTGCTCATGCTCTCTTTTCGCGTCTTGCCACGCCCGTGTCCTTAACTGCCGGGCAGCAAGAGGCCGGAAACTCCGTTTCCGTTCTTACGCTGCTTAACAGGGAGGCGGCTGCGCTCCTGAAAGCGGAGGGAACAGCGGATGCAGCGGCAGCTTCTTCTCGTGGGATCTTGCCCGCGTGCGAAATACATCAAGCAGACTCTGGGAACGCAGAAACTCCACCTCACCAGAATACTTTCGAGTCGTTGGATTTGCCGTCGGCGTTGAAGGGGCTGGTGGCGACGCTGCTGCAACGGCTGAAAAAGCTGTGCTCCCTGGCGATTTCCAGAGTCGAAAAGGGCAATAACAATCGCAGTGAAGGCGAAATTGCTGTAGGCGAATGCTGCGCTTGCCAGGTGGAGGCGATGGTCGTCCGGATGCTTCGAAGCCGGTTCGGCTTCGTTGCTCCTCTAGGAGATGTCAGTGCCGCTTTTTTTGCTTTCTTTCAGACCCCCAAGCTCAAGCGTGACGTGGAGAGATATCACAACCCGAAATATCGACTCCTTGCCTGTAGGTTTTTAGTGCAGCTAGTGCAGGAGATTTCGTTGTTGACTGCTTGGCTTTATGCTTTCAGTGCGGGTAGTGCGGGCCATTTCGGTACTGATTCCCTGGCGTCGTTTCTTGAGTCTGCATTCAAGCACTTTTCGTCTCTATGGTGTCTTTCCCTCGCCAGGGCCGGGCTTGCAGCGCTATGCCAAGAATTTGTCGTGCGCCTTTGCGGAGAGGGACAGGAAGAAGTCGCAGGTTGTTCGGCCGTTTGCAGCTATTCCTCCCTCCGTATCGTCCGATCTGTACGAATTTTGTGTTGGGCGGATTTTGGGAGAATGCGCCCTCAACGTCAGTGTAGAGGGAACCCTATCTGTAGTCTCAGGTTAGTGAGAAAGATAGTGGTTTTAGTAGCAGGATTCTGTGTTGTTCCGAGTGGGTTTCGGTTGCAGCATATGCATGAGTTGGAGGTGGTTGGTGGACATGCTTCGCGGCCAGCTGTCGCCAGATCGACTCCGTCTCAACACTCGCGTCTCCTCTGTTTCCATTTCGGAAGAAGACTCAGCGTTTCCTTGCCTTGTCCGATGCCACTCCGACGACAACTCCAATGAAGCACAAGAGTGAGCCTCCAGCAGCAGTTGCCACCAGCAACAGCGGCCCCTCTGGGTGTGCTTGCGATTTATCCGTTTCACTGTTAGCTGACGTGTGCAAGGCCCACTGATTGCTCTTTTTTGCTTTGTTTTGTGACAAGGCTCCGTTCAAGATTTGTTCTCGTAGCACTGCCTGTATCTCTACTACAACAGCCTCCAGAAGAAGATGAGGGGGCGGCTGCTTGTGTAACGTTTCAGCCACCGCTTCCAGCAGAGAAAGTGGCGGCTCTAGCGGCTATGGGCATGGGAGTGCACAACAAGGTGGGCTCCCCGACTCATCTCCTCTAGTGTTACTGAAGCGGCATAGATGTTCTTGCCAAATGGCCAATTTTCTGTCACATCGCATCCTTGGTATATGGAAAGTAGTCGGGTATGGGAAGGCCGTCGTGGCAACTACGGATTGGGTTTTCGTACAGGTGGTACTACGGGTTGCTCCTGCAGACGTTTTTTGGTCGCATTCGACTCCTTCATTTTCTTCACCTTATTCGCGCTTCCAGTATTTGAACCTGCATGCATACGGGAAAACGGGTTGTATACTAGCGCATCTGTTTCCCCCCGCATCCCTTGCCATTGACTCCCTTAGCGATGAAGAGGTTAGTCGTAAAATATTCACAAGGAGCAGCTTAGTAGGATAGCGTGCTTACGTGAGTATACGGAAGAGAAGCGAGGGCATAGGTACATACAGAAGGGCTGAGCGAAGAAGGGCTCAAGACGTGCTTTCAGCTAGCGTAGATGCAGGGAGTAGATGATCATCCACGTGCAAGTTGCATGATCCCGGTTACGCTGGATGCAAATCTGGAGATGATGAATACTGAGGGGTAGTAGGAGGTGGTATTGCTTTTGGTTTGTGAACGGGGATAAATTGCGTTCAGGTGGCTCAGGAGGTGCTTGATGACCTGCGAAAGCTGTTCGGTTACGTCCCTCGCCCGGCCATTGTAGCTTCGGTGGTTACCCGATGGCATTCTGATAAGTACTCAAGGGGCTCCTACTCATATCCAGTGAGTCAAAATATTCTCAGACGTAGAGGCAGAGCCATGTCACGCAGCTGAGTAATGCTTCCATGCGCGGGTGGAATGGCGAGATCAACGGTGACTGGTGGAACTGCAGAAACCTGGAGCTGACATGGCAACTCACTGGCGCTGGTTGAGGGCACCACATCCTTTAGAAGCTCCTCGTGTAGCCTTCGCTGGAGAATTTTGTTCTGATTCTTACAGCCAATGCGTCGACGGAGCGTAAGTTGCACAGCGTAGTGTCTCGTTAAGGTAGATGCTAGCTGTAGACGCCCAGTGAGTGCTTTGGATGAGCGAAAGTGACACTTTCCGACCTGCCTCCACCGCTTGTTGCTGTGCGCTGTATTCTGAACCATGTGTTCAGGTTCGACACCGGCATGCGGGCAGCGCAGTCCGTTGTGCAGTTTGGTCTGCGTCTCCATCCTTGCACAAAAGCCAGACAGGAACAGAAGCAGGCACAAAGGCGAGAGGACAACGCAGAGGAAGTAGAACGGCTGCAGCAGCAGCATCGTAACCGCCGACAGAACCGCACAACCCGAGAGGCGAAACCCGGAAGCAAGCAACAGCGCGCATCAAGAAGATTTAAGAAGGAGGCTCTCGATGCAGCCGAAGCGAAGGCAAGAATTGCAATGGCTCGGGCAGAACTCGAACAAACGAAAACAAAATATTGCGGAGACGACTGCTGCCCGATGCTTGAGTGCCCAGATAGGTAAGTTCGCTTCGGAGTATGGAATTCTTTTGCGTAATGTCCTCTAGATTTCTTTTGTTGCTCCGTGGGTGTGAGGGTCCATCTATAACTCGTTTTTTCTGGTGTTACTGGTTGCGCAGTTCCCATGCTGGGTTTTACTTAACGGATGGAAGCGACCTGACCGATGGTGATGAAAGTATTACGGAGCATGGAGATCATGAGGAACTTGGAGCAACTTACGGGAAGAACACGCGGATGATGCTTGAGAAGTTCCAAGCGCTTCTGCGGTTTAATCACAAGCAGCTAAACTGTTCTCAATCGAGATGTTCCCGAACGGAGTCTGGCCCAGCAGGGTTTGCGCGGCCTGCCCGGGCAAGGGCTTAACGCTTGCAACAATACTGCGAACATTTGGACAGCAATTTTGTGGTGCAGCGTTATTTTGAAGAGAGGCGGAGTAGGGCAAGGCTTGTACCATTATCATCTGGAAGACGATCGGAAGGATTCTAACAAGAGAAGAAGACCGTTGCAGCGAATACATCGATTATCGTGTATTACACAATGCGCGAGCCCAGAGGGAAACTGGCGTGGGACGTCGATTGAAACGTTCACACATCACTGAGAGAGCCAGTTGCCGAGCTTATGGAAGTTTGTAGGGATTTCCCGTCGAAGGACGGCAGTATTAGGGGGAAAAGGCTTTTCTGCTGCCCCTCCATCTAGGGAGGGCTGCACTTGTGCGTTTTGTTTAGGTCTACAAGCAGGGGATTCTGCCGGTTATACAGAGCAAGGGAAGCGTTATTGACTTCCTCGCCACTCGCCCAGTAGACTTTGCAGTAGACTTTGTTACCATTGACCTTATGACGGGAACAGATAAAGCTGCTATCCCTGCTGCACTGGGGTTTGGCAGTCTGGTCATCGACTCCTCCGAAATTAAACAAGTGCGGAAGACCATGCATTCTGCTGCCGTCGTTGGTGCTCTGTTGCACCTTACTGCAGGCATGTTCATGTCGTGCTGCGCCTTCTGAGAGTCGGTCAAAGGGTGACGTGTGCGCACCCGCGGGGATGCACGCGACATCAATGGCGGGAGACACCACGCTGCTGTGGCAGCTTTAAGTATAGTCGTTTACCTCATTTTTGATGCCTGGGCAGAGGCTGTCCAGCATCGGTAGAGTAGATGGAGTATTTCTACGGGATTCCCGTATAAGTAAAGGCCATATGATTAGTAGCGAGTGGCCATGCAGTTCGTCGACAATTTAGGTCCTCGAATAGCGGGGATAGAGTTTGAATGGATTGCGCTGACGTTGCTTGTTATCGCGGGGGCATAGCATGTTTTTAGTGGCACACGATTTGCACTTGCCATTAGGTGCTTTCATGGGGAGGAATGGTTTTCGGAAGGCATTGACGGAGCACAAGCGGGGAGTACCTTGCCGGCGGAGAAAAGGTGGAGAAGAGGTACATTACCAGCAGGACGGCTCAGACGAGCGCAAGAGCCGCTCGCGAGCAACTCTATGGATTATTCACAGCTGCACAACAGCCTTCTCTAAACGCGACACGTTCTACGATCCGTGGCTTTACTCGTCCACTCGCAGGCGGAGTAGCTAAACAACACCTGCTCGCGGCTTGCTAGGCATCAAACCGTAACCTTCAGAAGTTAAACAGAAGTAGCTAATTTTGGTGTCGACTGGGTTGGTACTCGCACGCATTATTGTGCTGTTTACTCCTAATGAAACACACTGAGGCTTTATCGCTCTCTAGTAGGGTCCACACTTGACGGGGCTGTGGTCCTCCCGTTAGTCGGCGGCGACCAGGACACCATCGAATCGTTTTCGCAGTTTTCAGCAAGAATCCATTGTACTGAGAAGAAAGTTATACAGTGGAACGAGTAATACTTGACTTTCTTGGGAGACAGCTCTGTTCAGACCTCCCTTGCATGCATAGCGTGGCAGGGGGTGTCGGCGTATAGAGCTGTCATGCAGTTCAGTGGAACTGTTCAAATATTTTCGAAAGCCTTTGGTGAAGCCTTTAACTTCTTTGCCTGCTTTGCTACGGCAAGTCGCCTGCGTGCGGCACCTTGTCTCACTTGCTTGTCTCCCAAACATGCAAGATTGGGGAACATCTACGGCCAGCCTAAGGACTTCTTGTACTCACCGCGTTACGCGCTAACTGACATGCACTCTTACATCGCCATAAGCGGAGGTGCTGCCGCCATTGGGATTTCCGAACAACTGGGACACAGGGTCCAACCGGGCTCCTCAAAAGGTGGCGGTGACGGTGAAAGCAGCCCTTAAGAAGCTTAGCGCACAGCATTCTCTTCTGTGGGTGTACACTCTGCTGCTTAGCGATGCAGCATGCTGAATGGCCGTTGAGGCACGTGATTCGTCTATTGGGCCCCTGAGATGGAGCAGTTAATCCCCATCATGAACCGTCTTCAAGACGCGCTCCTGACTTTAGGAAGCGGCGATGGCACAACATTTGACTTGCCGCAGATAGCAGTCGTAGGTGCACAGTCGGTGGGAAAATCTTCTGTTTTAGAGGCGGTGATTGGCAAAGATTTCCTACCGCGAGGCACCGGTATTGTCACGAGAAGGCCTTTAATACTTCAAGTAAAACTCCACCGATGCCTTCGCATATTCATACTGTAGTATAAAACGTAGTGTGTGTTGGTATTCCGTGCGTTTGGCTGGACACTTCAATAATTTGTCAGCGCCATGGAGATCTAGCTGGTTTCGGCTTGTATACTGCGTTTGCCGTTGCCCTGCAGCTGCAACATACATCTGGAACGACGGAGTGGGGAGAGTTCAGCCACTCTCCAGGGCACCGGTTCACAGACTTTGCTCAGATAAGGAGGGAAATTGAGAGAGAGACGGAACGGGTGACAGGCCGCTCCAAGAACATCTCGCCCATTCCTATTTGCCTCAAGATTTTCTCGCCAAATGTTATTGACTTGACGCTTGTCGACTTGCCAGGCATTACAAAAGTGCCAGTGGGGGATCAACCTTCAGACATTGAGGTGATTCATTCCTATTTCACAATTGTGTTCATCCCTTAAGTGCTTTTTGCTTCTCTAGTACCATTCCCGACGCGCCTTTGCTTGTTTTTCCGGACCAGTGAAGTAACACCTCATAAATCTGTCCCTCTGCTGCAGCTCCAAATCCGCAAGATAGTTTTGCAGTACATAAGCCAGCCCTCTTGTGTTATCCTTGCCATCACGGCGGCCAACACTGACATTGCCAATTCCGACAGGTTAGGGTCCCCTTTCGTCTTTTTCGCCTTAGCTCATGACGCTTTTTTGTGCGCGTCTGGAACTGTTCGGCCATCACATTCGTGACATTTTATTCGTATTTGGATGCTAGCTTTTCATTACAACAGACTTCTGCTTGTCCATGGGGCCATCGTGAACTAACATATTTCAAGGCTGCGGCTATGGCGTTGGAGCGAACACTGAAATTTCCATCTAGATCGTTAGCGAACGTTGAATCCCTTGGCCGTTTTCGTTCCCATCCTACATGCTCTGTACATCCCTGGGCCTTCAGCCTCAAGATCGCCCGTGATGCGGACCCTGAAGGCATTCGCACCATCGGAGTGGTTACCAAAGTCGACACGATGGAGGAAGGCTGCGACTGCGCAGACGTGCTTCTAGGGAAGGTCTACCCACTAAGAAGGGGGTAGGTACAGAGCACTGCCACTGCTTGCAAAAACGCACTGCGGTTAGCCTATTTGTTGTTCCTTGACAGTTTGTCAGCATAATTTTTCGGCGAATATGCATGTGGTAGCACATGAACAACGCTGCAGCGTTGCCTTGCATGGACGAGGTAGACCTGGTATTTCAGTATCAACAACCTCCCGACTGGATTTCCGGTGCTCAGATTCGTAGGCGTAGTATGTAGAAGTCTTGCCCAGACACGCGAGCAGCTTTCCCCAAGAGCTGCTCAAGAGGAAGAGACTAAGTTTTTCCAAAGCCACCCGGCCTACAGGAGCTTGGGTAACCGTTGTGGAACTCGATATCTTGCGCGAATGTTGAACCAGGAAAGTCCCACACTCCGCATTTGCCTTAGTTTCACTTCGAAAGGTTTGCTCGTGTGTGCGTGTTCATATCGCGGAGTCATTTTAAGTAGAGCCTGTGCTAATTCCACAGCTTGCATTTGGACCTTTTCTCTCTAGTCTTGTTCTGGGTTTTAGGTGCTAATGCAACACATCCGGGAATCGTTGCCGGAGCTTCGTGAGAGGCTGCAGAAGAGGCTTCAGGAAGCAGAAGCAGAGCTGGCTGGCTACGGGGATCCACTGCTGGAAGCGAAGGGGAATGCTGGGGCATTGCTTCTACATTTTTTCTCTAAGTTTGCCCGCAACTTTCAGGTTGGATGCACCCACATTGGTTTACTCAGGCTATATCCCTATGGGGTGTATTGAGGCCAACGGCACATACCAAATCTAGAAATAACTGTATGCACCGTGGAGTAGCCGATTCTGTGCATCCGTCGTCCACTCCCCTGTGTGATTCCGCGGCTCTTTCGTTGTTTCCCAGGATGCGATTGACGGGAAGCTGCAATCTCAGCACTCCTCGGATCATTTGATGGGCGGGGCACGGATAAACTTCATCTTCCATGATTGGTATGGCAGGGCCTTGGCCGAGTTCGACCCGCTCAGCGGTCTCAGCGATCATGAAATTCGCACCGCCATTCGGTGAGGGGTCTTTCCTTTTCGCTTGCCATAGAGCACAGCAGAGAGATTACGTGTGCACGAACTGCGCAGCCCTGCAGAGGTGGTCTTTTGTGGAAGAACGTTCCGTCTTTCAACTTCACACTAAAGTTGCCCCTGGCCAAGCTTAGCACTTCGGCTAACCAGATGCCTTGAGAAACTCAGGGTTTCATTTTGCAAGGCAGCAGTGGATTTACTTGTCAGCACTGTTTCTGCATATGCGCATGCTTCCGACTCTACCAATTCTCGCGCCTGGCTTACCATTTGACTTCGTTCGGCTTCCAGGAACGCCACGGGTCCCAAGGCTGCCCTTTTTGTGCCAGAAAGCGCATTTGAAATCCTAGTCAAAAAACAAATTCAGCAGTTAGAGACCCCTTCGCTGCTTTGTGTGGAACAGGTATGGCATTTTCTCCTGGCCCGGCCAAGCAGGGCGACCTCGTAGATCTCCTGATCCTTTTCGTTGGGAAAGTTATACCTTTCAGTATACACGTGTGTCGGTGGATGTTTCAGGTGTACGACGAACTGCAGAAGATTGTTGAGAAATCTGAACTTCCCGAGATGTCTCGATTCACAAATCTGAGAGACCGCATTCTTGAAGTCGTCTGTGGGGTGCTGAAGAGATGCCTGGCCCCAACAAATCAAATGATTCACAATATTATTCAGGTAAGTGGATGAGTAAAGCTTATATCGCCGGGCGCGTAGGGTTGCGTTTGGGATTATGGCGATGCCGCCTGTGCGTGTTTCATGCAGATTGAGCTGGCTTACATCAACACGAATCATCCTGACTTCATGAGCAACAAAGCCCTCCCGGGCCTCTTTGGAGACAACAGTTCCAGCAGGCGCGACTCCTACTGTAAGTGAACTAGCAGAAAAGGAGCGCGCCATGCGCCGTATGATTGTGCAGGCCAGGTGCTTAAGGTGCAAAGGTTCACAACGAAGCACGGACACGGCGAAACTGCGTAGTGATAATGGGAAGAGCAGAACACTTTCTGCCGCTCAGAAGCTGTGGGGCTACTCTTCATTTCGACTTGCTTGCAGCGCCGGGCTTAGGGAGTTGCCTACAACCTCCAGTGCCGCCGCAGCAGCAGCAAAGTGGAAAGCCCTGTGCACCCTCGGAAAAAGAGCTACCACCGTCGCCTCGAGGGGAATTTGTGAGTAATGGCAATGCTTTGCCGTTTCAGATGGTGCACATGTGAATGAAGCCTTTCTTCCTCGTTCGGCTGCAAGAGCCTATGAACAGTTCGAAGTGCTTCTCATACACTTCGACCGCATCTCCTATCCGGCTGTCGTGTCCTGTGAATTTATTCAGGGCGTTGGAGGTGTATTGCATCAAGGTGGCTTTTTCAGTTTTCTAAAGAACTCCCGACCTTCTCCACACGCTAGCAGGAACAATTCTGTTGCGCAAGCTACACCGCAACAGCAACCACAGCAGCAACACATACAGCAACCCCTTACTCAGCGGGCCGATAATGCCAATCCAGCTGAGAGATGCACCAGAGAATGTAGGCACCGTGGCGAAACTTACCCCCTATTAGTCGCTAGTTCCCATTTGATGTCTCTGCAGTTGACTGTGGACTGTAGAAGTTTCCCATTCTCGTTGTGGCACTTTTATTTACGTTGAGTTTCTCTTTTTTTAATTTTCAATTGCCTGCGGTGTGCTTTTGCGCCGAAACAGCTCGTCTTACCGCCGCATTGGACAGGTTTCGGGTACAGTTGGTTGCGGGGCGGCCTTTCTGTTCTTTTTTTGTCCTCCTCACCTGCTCTGCTTACAGTAGAGTAGTGTTTAGCTGCTTCAAGTGCCCAAGCCTTAGTAGCATATGGGCAGCTTTGTGGAAGTTTTGTTGGCTGCATCGTTGTACAGATTTTATCTACTGCAGGAAGCCTTTCATAGGCACATGTGCCCATGTTGCTGCTTCTACTATTCAGGGAAGTGGAGGCATTCGCATGCCCGCAGTTCCGCCAGTTGTCGCGCCGTCAGACATCCCATCCGACCGGGAGCAAATAGAGACCGAACTTATTAAGTCGTTGCTGTGGTCTTACTTCCAGATTGTCAGGTGTGTGCACTTTACGGTTTTTGTGGCGCAACCTGGTGCTCATGCGAGGGAGCTCTCCCTGTATTACTAATATGCACAGCTTGCGCGAGGTTGAAGGCTTCCGCCCCCTATCACTCACCCACCCCATCTCTAAACTGTCTGAGCCCAAACTGCAAATACACTTTGCACTCAAAGAAAAATGAGTTATCCGATGAACCGGAATGTGGAAATAACATGCTTAGTATTTGTCGGATGTATCTGTATATTCATTGTTCTCCGTTCGAATGCATCTGGTTATCGCGCGCACTACACGAGAGCAGGCGCCAGTATACTTTTACTATCTGCAAGCAAGCAGTCTATACCAGGAGGGCGACCGTAACTTTGTTTATTTGTACGTTTTTCAGGAAGAATGTTGCAGATGCGGTGCCGAAGGCGATCATGTACTTCATGGTGAACACGGCGAAGGATGTACTACAGAGAGAGCTAGTAGCTCAGCTGTACAGAGAAGGTCAGGCTAGAATCGCACGCGCCGCCCCCCATGCACAGAGAAGCCTGTTGGACTGAAATGTGCTATGTACCTCGCTTCTTGGGCGAGCGATTGTACGTTTCCTTAGTTGGACTCTTCGTTGTGTGCATTAATTCGCAACCCTCTACTGCCCATTTGCTATGAACCAGAGCTATTTGGGGAGCTCATGAAGGAGGCGGGAGACATCAGTGTGAAACGACAGCAATGCAAACAGCTTCTAAAGTAAGCAGCCTGGCCGTCGATGCCCACTCTTCTTTGATAGCTACTGCTTTGATAGCTAATTGTAGAAGCTTTTGCTGTCACTGCGCTCGTACCTTCTACTGCAAATTGCTGTGCTGGCTGAATCAAAATTCCACCGTGCAGTTGATACACCGTCTCTGCTGTGTCGCATGCAAGTTCGGCACTTACACACCGCACCCCATCTTGTCGGCATGGCCTTTTTCAATGTCGCAACATCGAAATCCTCCCGATTGAGGTGTGCGTGTAGCTGCTACTATTGCATCATTTGAGGATTTTTTGAGCTTACTCTCATTGTTATCAACCGTGTGGCATGTACTTCTCAGATCTATACGGAGTGCACTTGAGATCATTTCTCAAGTCAGGGAGCTAGGAGCAGAAGATACTGCGTTGCCAGCCCGCCGACATTTCTAGCCATTGCTCGTTTGGTGGCCAGAAAGAGTGAGACGTCCGCATGTAGATATCCAAACTGCAGACAGATGATCTTCAGCAGAAATCCCGACGGATCAAAATGGAGCTAAGCTGAACGCTGAGGGTAGGACGGAGGCGTTTGTTTTGGGCGCAGTCCCGTCTCTGCGAAACTCCAATTCTGTTTGCCTCTAAAAGTTAAGTTGGTCAAGGTTGTCGGCAAAAAGACCTAGTTCAGCTCTGTATCAGCCGTTACTGGACTGTGCACTAGCATGTCATGTTGAGGCAATAACTCGCTTAGTACTCAGCGTGCAACCTCACTGCCGAGACGTTCCATGCGTACTATGCTTCATGCGTAAAGCACTGGGGCACGCCTTAGGGTTGTCACGGAAGGGAGTAGCAGGAAGAGAAAACCCGCTACACAGGAACACCAAACAGTAGATCCACCAGTGCGTTGCTACTGTAGTACGTCTGTCCCCTCATCGACACTCCGTTACTCCTTGGCAATTCATTGCGCGCGGAGAGCTTCTTTAAGCGTGTATTTGGCGCATGTGGAACAGTTCATCTGCCATCTGACATGGATGGGCTCACGGCCGCTCCCGACCCATTTCCTCGCGAACAACAATTGGTTCGCTGAGTCACACTCCGTGAGCAACTGATTCGAGAGCTAACGGTGCATCCAGCCCTTCAGCAGTTACCTCGTTTCATGTTGTTGAACAGGAGAGCACCAACACCTAGCATCAAGGCCAAAACAAGGCCAGTTTGGGCCACTTGCGGAAGCAGCTCCTCTCTCTCGCCGTTTTCCTTGTCACGGGCCTGTGGCAACACTCTTCCGTTGGGGCTAGGGTAGGGCCGCGCCTCCGCTGCTTCTTCCTTCAGCAGGTCCTGCAAAAACCTTCTCTCCTGAAGATGTAAAAGCTCCTGCTGCATTTTACGCAGCTGCTCCCGCAGTCCATCAAGCTGTCTTTGCATGTGCATTGCCGTGCCTGTGTCGGGATGGCTGTCGATTTGCCCCTGACGGAGGTCCATAAGAGCTGCGACGTGTTGCTGCTGTTCCCTCTGCTGTTTTTCTTCGTCTTCCCACTGCTGCAAACCACGCAGCTTGTGTGTTCGGTTTGGGAGCATCTGTTGCTGGAAAAGAAACGGCAAGAAACACCCATATTCAGCTCGCTGGCGCAGCAGCACCGCTGATGCTTCCACCAGCATACTGCGCAGTGACAAAGGAGTGGTGACTGCCTCGCTAACTCTGTCTATTCCCGCCCTGCACGTACATCGCGAGTCTTTATCACCAATTGTGCCACTCAACGGCAGCTGGAGTACAAGTGGAAGATGGACAGCACTGAGACAAAGAGGGACGCCGCTAGGGCTCTGCATCTTGCACCGGTGTCTGCTCGCTGGTGATGACCCCTCCTCAAATTTATCACCTCTTCGACCTTCTCCTTCGTATCCACCGTTAGTAGGTTGCCCCTGACTGCCGATTTTGCTGCTGCCGCCACTGAGGCTGTTGTTGATGCTTTCTGCAGAGTTACCTGGTATGAGTGTCTCTGGTTCTTCAGTATCTGGGTTCGCGCCATCAGGATATTTTCCGGTACTGGCAATGCTGCTGCTACAAAACCCCTTACCGAGCAAGGGTGCCTCCTGTTCTGAATGCAATTTCGACGGGTGGCATTCTTTCTCACGCACTGTTCCTTGGCAGTGGGCACAAGCATTGGGTCCACGCGGAGTTGGGTGCAACGGAAGCAGCATCTCCTCCAGAGTCGCCAAGTCAGAGGCCGCAAGTTGCAGCCGAAGTATCCCTCTACTGTACCAAAAAGCACCAGAATGGGCAGCAGTACGGACTATGCATAGCAGCAAAAAGCCATGCACACACTGCGACGCCACACGAGGAGCCATCTCTGCCAGCGAACTTTACCCGGGCTTACTCGCGCAATATTTGCTCGCAAGATGTGGTATGTTGCACAACCAGCAGGGGAAGCATACAGGCCACGGCACGGAGGCGTTTTAGTAGAGCCAAAACTTCGGCGGGTAATGGTAGGGCAGAGTGAGGAATCAGGAAAAGGCAAACGTGAACCTGCAGAAAAAACGTGCGAATAGTCCAGAACCCAAGCCTCCGTAGGAGAAAATGAGAGAATGTTCCTCCATGGCTCATGATGCCGTCCTAGCTAAGATCAAACTGTGTACAGCGATTACTACAAGCCCAGATTGCAGCGCATAGAATTTAAGGAGCAAGGCGCATGAAGACACACCCTTCGTTCTGTCCTTTCCTGCTGAAGAACTTTATCTCGTTCCCATCCCTCTAGCAGGCGAAGCTCACAATATGGAAGGGCAGAAGCAAAACTAGAAGCCGCAATGACGGGAACTGCAAGGTACAGGCGCATGCAGAGTCTCCAAGGATAGGTGAATATCATCAACACAAAGCATGCGGCCTAGATCCACGCCTACACCATACTAGAACGCATGAATCGTAGATTCCTTTCGAATTTTCAGGATACGCATGATACAGCAGCGTAGCTTACCCTCTACAAAAGGAACAACAAATGGAGCTCGGAAGACAAACTCCTCGCCACACGAGACATGCTGACGACTGACTTCCTGCCACTGAATCCACAACACAAAAGTGTTACCCGGACACACGCACACTCCCATCTTTGAGTGAAACAGCGGCGGAAAGCTTCTGTATTCATGCAATGCCGCAAACACGCGCAACTGTGGCAGCAAGAGGCGAAATCGGAGCTACAGGAGGCAGAAGAAAGCAATAGCACAGAACTCCGCTAACCTCCGCAAACATCTGTCTGCAAAACACGTCTGCATCAACCCCCGGCAAGGCTGTAATAAGAATATTTAGCCTCATGTCATTTTTCTTCAGCTTTCTCCGACACTGACTCTCCAAGTGTCGCTGTGCCTGTTCCATAAAGCCAGAAAACGTGAAGGCGCAGGTGGAAACATTCATGCATTTTCGAGCAGGCGGGACTAGAGGAGCAAGAGGAATAGAACGTGGTGCTGTAACAGTTTTAGTGATATTTCGAATGATTCATATCGGTAGTGCTCAAGTTCGCACTTCTGTGTACGTGCATGCACGCTGGGTCGTGGGAGCATTTCTTTCAGCGCCTATAGAGAAGACGTGGTGTTAATATGCACGTATATAACGGTGCACAATTGAATCTTCATCATTCCGTACAGAAATGCGCACTGGCAAGACCAACAAGTCAAAAGCCAACGATTTGGTCGGTAGAGCTACAACGGTGCATAAACGAAATACTACCGAATGATAATGGCTGCACGTCTCCCTAGGAACATGAAAGCCGCACGCAGCCTGCGAACCTATCAAGAAAGGGAAGCATGCTAGGAAGGCAGGAATACCTAGCCAATGTACATTACAAAGCGGGTGGCAAGTTACTTGGCTTGGCATGACCAGCAATTGTAGCCATTTGTGAGGTGTGACACAGACGACACATGCACGATTGCCCGGTCACACATCCGACGACAAGCACCTTGAGCATCCGATTCAGGAGTGATAATACACCAGGTTACATGGGGATGCAACAAGGCTTACACGGTGCAGCAGGAGGCCATGACGGCGTCTGGCAGAGGCGCGGCGGCGTCCACTTTCAGCAGGATCTGAAACCACTGTGGCAGAGCGCGACGCTTCAACCTGAAGATGGCGCAAAGCCTCTACAAAGGCACGGCTAAATCAAGAAAAGGCCTTCAAGCACAGTTAGAGAGGGAAGTCATCCTAAATTTACAGAGAGCAATGAATGGGAATTCAGCAACGCGGTGCACTCAGCGGGACATCAGGGCATCCCGAGTCAGTCCCACTAGAGCCAAAGCGCATAGAGAGAGCGATGGTGCGCACCTCAGATGCTACATGTGCAGAGTCGAGATAGACCGTGGTTTTTCCATCGTTAGCAGCTAGTGTTCCCCGCTGCGTACCGCTATTGGCTGCGAGTGAAGGGCTTCCCACAGGTGAGCGGGGTCTCACAGCATCAGCACCACAAGTATTCACGTGCTTAAGCTGAGTCTGTGACTGAAAATTGTCTCCCAGTGGTCCGCTCAAAGATCCTCCATCCTTGCACGATGGCGCAAAAGGGAGCACGGGGGCGCTTCCGCTCTTCCTATCGCTGCCAGAGCAGCTACTGAAACTGTCTCCAGGCGAATCAGTTGGAGTGAGTTGCCACCGTCCCCCCCAGCCACTGACGATTGCTGGTGATGATTCAGAAGCAGTATTAGTTCCCGTTCCAGAGGCAGGCTTACCCAGAGTGCCATGCCGCCTGATGAATTCCGACCCGGAAAGCGTGCTCGAATACATTGCTGAACGGAGAAACTTCACTACGGGACAACCTTGCGGGCCAGCGCTCTCACTAGCCCCAGCAACTGCAGCGGTTTCTCCCGCCTTTCCCCCTACTCCGATAAGACCAGTGAGAGCTTCGCCGCCTTTGCTGCTGTTGTTCCTAGCCTTCACTAAGGCAGAGGTGATACCCGAACATGCCCAATCCCATCCTTTTGGTTGATGTGTGTTCGAAAGCCGCAGCAGCCGCCGCACATCGCACCAGGCAGCGTCAGCGACGAACTCGAATTCGGCGGCGGGTGAACTCCATCCTGTGATGCTGCCGGATACATTGTTGGTTCCCGTTTCATGGTCTTCCGGTGTTAGTGCCTCATGCAACCGCTTATTCCCAGAGGCCATTGCTTCTTGCTTAGTGTTATCATTACACATGTGTGCTGTGTGCGTATCATCGCTGCGTATGTGTTCCCATCCCTCGGGATATCCTGCGAAGACGATCGCATTCTACATGCAGTGAATAAACAGAAGCGCTACAACACTGTTCAATGCTAGCAAACGAGCAGCACAACTAACCAGTGCGCAACCGATTTATTGCGGGGTTTTAGACTGACAGTGGAAACTTACCGGCATCACTGCGGAACGACACTACCGACCCTTCCTCTACAGGAAGAGGAAGTGACGCAGCCAACCAATGTGGTTGGCGCTGGGCATCGCCTCCCTGTGATGCTGCTATTTGATGGTCTGCAAGTGAGGTGAAAACGCAAGAGCTCGTCTCAAGTGGTTGCAGACAGTCGTGGCCAGTTGAGCGGCCGATTGCGTCAGCCGTGTCCTGCCGACTCTGAGAAGCCGGTGGTCCTTCTGGTCCTTCTGACAGACTTCGCTGTTGCGTCCTGTGCTGCTGGCAAGCATGCCGGGCCAGCCCAACATGTGATCCGCAACTATCTAGTTCCACATCTGAACAATTTGGCTCTCTATGGGCGCAAACGCAACCAAAGTCTATGCAACTGCACCGAGGCCTGAGCCAAGTGGAACCGCAGTAGTTGGGGGCACAGCCGTTTCTGCTCACAGAAGACGAAAAAATTTGCTGTTGAGCCGTGCAGATGCACAGGGGATCGATTCTGCAGGGTTCAGTAGCGCAGCTGCAAACATGACCCCCATGGGGTGCTGATGCTGGAGCTGCGCTGACACTCACGCTGTCGTCCTCCCTTCTTCTCTCCGCAGGAAAATTTGTTGGTGGGGTGCCTGCATGTGTTCCGAGCGAGGCTTGCTGTGCTTCCTCCGTTTGACGGTTTCTACCACTGGGCACAAACTTGCTCCACACGCTGCTCAGCATTGCACTGGAAGGGAACTCGCACATACCATCTAACCACCTGCCCCTTAACAATGCCTAAAACCGCCTCGGAAGATATGTATGGCATAGGCGGGTGCGAATGTAGCACGTCTTACTGCTGAGACTGCCTGGTCACCACAATGTTGCCGTGACCCTTCCACACGGCTCCAGTATAAAGAAAATGACCTCCACAAACCTTACGATCAATAATTCAAAGCTGCAATGTAATTGCAGTGCAGTTGTGCGGTTGAAAGTAGCGTTCGACGAAGAAGTGGAATGTCAAAGCAACCCCGCCAAAAGCCTGGCAGCACGTAGGCCCTGGTGCTGCAAAAGGAAGTTCACTAAAGGTGACAAAATTATCACACAACACCCACAGATGAATTGATACCATCAAGTTTAGTGGAAAGCTAGAGATTGTGCACTTTGTGTGGGCTGTGTCTCAGTTCGCCTCGTGAAACGTGCCCACCCGAAGCACTCTTCTTCGCCGGCCACTGCAGGCTACGTTCAAAAATGTTGCGTCTGCATGCATATGGCAATTCTGCCACCACTCAAAAGCAAGTTTTCCAATAAATAGGTATTTGCTCTCATGTGGCGGTCAAACGCTAGTGACGTTTGACCATTGGTGACCCCACACAACTTCATGCATTCATTCGGTGCCAGTTTTGCCAACATGTCAAGCTGCTCACTTTGGGTTGCTATCTGGGCGAAAGGCTGATTTTCTCTAGCACTGTCCTCATGACAACTGTCGGGACTCAGGATGTTATTGGCATAACTGCTAGGCTAGTGCGCATACCAGGGGAAATAGTGCAAGATTTCCCCTGCTGGGACAACGCGTGATTCTTCTAGTGCCTGGAAAGCCGTTAGCCGCATCTATGCTTATGCTCGATTGTACTGAGCAAAAAGGGGGAAGGAAAAGCCTGCCTAGGAGGCAGATACACCCAGGCTGTTTTCGGATATTTGTTCCTGAACTGCAAGCAGCGGCTGCTGTAACGGCATATTCGTTGACAGATGGGGTTCACAGTAAAATGGAAGCTTCCCCCCTCTAGAAATGCCGCATTTACTGCTGCAAAATATGACACTTCGTCTGAGCAAGCGACGTGGCGGTGGGCAGGCAGAGCGCTGTAGCTTGACCATTGTGGTTTGAAGGAGCCAAGGCTTCGCCAACTTCCATCGGAGCCATAAACGCCGATATTTTTGCGCATTGCGGCGGTTCCCTACATACCAACGAAAAGGAGGCGGCCGCAAAATGCGAGGGCTCGCATTTGTACAATTGGCTGTTGCCGTTGCCGCACAGATTTAGTGGACATAGGATTCGTTATGTCCACTCCACCTGGGAATGCATCTCACCTAGAACCAGCTCATAACGTAATCGGACAGCAATGCTCTACTCGGGGCTTATTCTTTCGGCTGAAGGGATTCGAAACTTTTTACCACTCCAAAACGCCGAACGAAGGGCTACTCGTGGCAACAGTAGAGTCGAAGTACACAAGCGACTGTCCAGTCATTGTTCGTACCTCCAAAATACAAAAGCTATGGAGGCGCCTAAAAATGAAGGCCAAGGCAGGTCTAATTACCGGAATGCACTCTGCCAGCATGTACGCAACTGCTTCTGAGCGGGACAAGGTGTCAGCACCTCAGGAGTGCACTTGCGCGCCGCCATGCCAAAATCATGACCTCACGATGGGACAGCTGTCTCTTGCAGTAGCACGGCACCTCGTAAAACGCAGTCAAACTGAACACCGAAAAATTACCCTTAAAGTAGCTGCATCATCTTCTGCCTCCACTTGTTCCCAACCAAACGTGCCTCCATAATGTGGCCTGCATCTCTCAGTATTGAGTAGCACTGGGTCGTCCTGCCTCTGGCTCCTAGACTGGCTAGACAGAACCCTCCCATCTGGAATTTTAGCACCCACTTCTGTTCAACCCTCGAAGGTACAGGCTGCACTACAGACGCGCATTCCTTCCAGATGAGTGCAAAATAAAAACTAATCAGGATTTGACATAGCGAAAAGTGCTCTACAGAGTTTGCTCTAGCAAGGCACGCCGGATGGGAGGCTTCTTCCGGCAAAAAAACAATGGCAGAGTTGGAACCGGGGTAAGCTAACGAACTTAAAGCCACTGTACGCTCTTGCAAGAATGAAAATGCTGGCTTCCAGAACTTCGTCGTACACCTTGAGCAGCATGTCACAAGCCTTGGCGGCGCCAAGCCAGGGAGTCCTAGCAAGCGGACGGAAAATGCTGTACAACGCAGATGAGGAGAGATGAAAGGTGCACACCTTTCTGCGGGCGGAATGACGGAGCCAGAACTTCCTGCGTATATAATATTGATGCTGAAGTATAACAAACCAGCAAGGAAGTCACGTTCTCGCACTTGGGTGTGAGCTGCTATAACCCTCGAATGCCAAACAGCTGGCCTTCAACCCTTCCGCCCGTGCTCAATAAACTGGCTTTGCCAGAAGTGAAATCAAAAGCCTGAAGTGTTGGCTTCCCTGAATCCGCAGAAGTAGCTCCAGAAAAGTATCTACAGTGGCTGCCCCGGTGTCTTGGTGATGAGGCAGGCAGGGACCACGCTCGCGTAAAGAACCAGTACCGGAGGTCTCTCAATTGATAACAGAACCTTCATTAGACGCCGAAACTCTACAGAAACTGAGACACCATGCACACGTTCAACAAAAAAAAACAAAACCGGTGGGCCAAAGGCTGTGCGGGGGTCCGCTAGACGATGCTTACCGACGTGCAGAGTAGGAATACAATAGCCCGACAAACTTCCACAGCCTTCGTAACTAAAAATAATTCCAACTGAAATAGAGTTGATGGACAGCTGCAAGCGTCTGCCATCCCAGACGTACTGTGGCCGTTCTACGGCCCAGTGGGTGAGGGGCTGACTCAGCATGCGCTTCGGATGAACCGACGCAAGTCCAACTTCCCTCTTCCTGACAACTGTCGTGAGCATTTCTTTTAGTGTACAGTTGGGCTCTCTGCCTTTCTGGGCGTGTGCATGCTCCTTGATAGTGTGACTGCGGCTCGAATGCGCTGGGGCTACACCTGGGAGCTCCGGATGATCCCTGCATATTTCTGACTGTTAGGAGCAGCTCTTCATCATTTTCATCCTTGTATGGCCTTTGTGCGTCTTTTTGAGTAGACGGGGCCAACGCATTCATCGGAACCCACACAAACTGGGGTGTTCCTCTAGGAGCTTCACGCATTTGCATGCCATTCCCCGGCTCGATTTCAAGGTGGAACTCCGGCAGCGGTAGCTGTCCTAACAGGCAGCGTGCAGCGGGTTGGGCCGCTGTGGATATCCGCTAGAGAGCCGTCGTGCTTACGTGTTCCGGCGCACGCTCGTGGGAGTCAGCTGAACAGCCCTAGAGGTGCACATGCAACTCAAAAATGGTTCGGTTGGACCGTGTTTTCGGCATTCTCCTGGCCGTTATTGCTGGGTGGTCAGCACTGCACTACCCTAAAGTCGCTGGAAGCATTCGTCATCGTCTTGGTGTCCCAGGCGGCGGCTACCCGGACCCCAGTGACTTGCGGATTTACGGCTCCGCATGTGCGGCTCTCTACCTTGTCCTTCAGGTGAGTTGACGTTACGCCGCCAAGGTATTCGATGAATGCATTCAAATGCCAGGCATACTACCTGCTAAATCCCAAATTGTTGCTTCTGTGGGGGGGGGGAGAAGGGGCGACCGCACACAGTGCAATGATTGCATCTTGCGTCTCAGGGCCTCTGCACATGGCTTCTAAAGCCGCTTGCGGATCGCCTACTTCCCCGCGAGTCGGAACTCACTGTCTTGACTCCCTTTGCATATTGCGTATTACTGCAACGCGCACGCCGGGGGAAGCGATGCCCCATAAGCACAGCTTGCGCATTTTTAGTTATCCTCTCTTCCTCTCTTCTTTTTTGCCTGCAACTTAGGGATAGACCTGTTTGACGCAGCCATGACTATTGGACTATGGAGGCTCAGGAGGTTTGTTGACCTTCTCCGGTTTGTTTTCCTTGCAGCCGATGGAGCGAGCAAGTGCGACAGCTACTCTGCTCACATTTTGGGGCAATGACTTGGAAGATGTTGTACTTTTTAATGACTACAGCTGTGTGCCTCCTGTCCTTTCGCAATGAGCCGTGGTGGCCACAACAGCTCGGTGGCGAAGGGGCGGAAGAGGAATTGTGGAAGGGTGAGCCTTGTCGAGTATTCGCCTTTCACACCTCTCCACATAGGCGCGCATGCCATGTGCTGAAGAGTGGATCGTTTAGACTTGGTCTCTAGTTGCAGTGCATCCAGCAGCACTAGATCATATTTGACTCTCCCACATGCCGCCGGACAGGGTCTTCCAAACAAGGCGTTCGCATGCGCGAAGCACAATAAGAGGAGTGCAGATTGTACAGGGCTGTGTTTATGTACAAGACACTCTGTGTTTATGTACAAGACACTCGAAAAAACAACACAACGCTTCTGCATATGTGTAGTTGCTCGGTTTGCAGGATATCCGATGCAACAGAACAGCATATACTGCCATCTGTATTTCTACGTTGCTTTCGGCCACCACCTCGCGACACTCATATACATTTTGAAGTCACCATGTCTTCCCGATTTCTTTGACCAGCTACTGCCTTGCGTTGCTGCTCTTTGTCTGATCTATTTCTCGTACATGAGCAACTTCTTAAGGGTTGGCGTGGTTATTTTACTTTGCCACGACATCTGCGACATTTTTACTTTCGGGTGCGTGTTCGGTAGGAAGCGTAGCCAGCAGACTGTCTCGACTGCTTCTGGGCTACATTCCCAGATGAAGATAGAGCGCCTCACCTGTTTGCTTTTCCCAGCCGTCTTCTATTTGACCCAATGCGGTGTATGTGCTCAGGTGCAAGGCGTTTGTAGACACGCCGTATCATAAAGTAACGGTTGGACTCTTTGTGTTGCTAACGAGCTGCTGGTTTTACTTCCGTCTATACACCTTCCCGTCTGCCGCCCTATTCCCGATATTTAAGGCGATAAAAACCCGGCCGGACCATTCTGAGACGGAGGGCAGTAGCTACTTTATTTTCATTCTCCTCACGCTGAGCCTCATGAACATATATTGGTATGTAACTAGCACACATAAGCGCCGTATTTAAGCGCAGGGGCATAGTAAACGAACCTATCTCCAAATCGGATTTTGATATTGGCTGCGCTCGCAGGATTGGGATTCATGCGTATCAGGCATTTCTGCATGCCTGTATGGGCGTTCTTGTGCAGGTTTGTGCTGATGGTGAAGATGTTTGTACACTTTATCCTCAGCGGTCAGATGAGAGACTTGCATTCAAGAGTTTCGGATGTCGATTCTTCAGGGCAGGCAAGGGCTCCTCGCGATGTTAAACCATCGAAAGTGGAGTGAATGGGGAGCATTTGGCACCTGTGTTTTCTCATGCATTTCTGAGAGCCCTTCCAGCATTCAGTATCGGCAGACAAGCGGCGCACACAGTCGCTTGATTACGTCAGCCTTCCCTGAGTGATCACTTTGTCGCTTTTGGTGCCCAAGGGGCCGTACAAGGATTCTTCTCTGCCCCTTGGGGCTTGTGCGTCTAGCGAGAAAGCTGCCGGCTTCCATTGGCTATTGGGACTCTCACGGTGTCCGCCCGCGGTGGAATCCACGAGCTACAGAGCTTGTGGAAGTGGGACACTGGCACAATCAGAGGCACGGGAGGAGGCCGGTACCGCCGAGGATCTCTCTTTCTAAGGTAGGAAGGGATGGTGGCTTCTGACTGTTTGCCCGTTGGGGTCAGTTGTTAAATCATCAGACCGAGTCAGTCGGTCTTCCTTGGCAGACAGTGCCCCAGAGTTAATGGGGAAAGGCATTGATGGCAATGCTTTTGCGTGAGCGAAGCCCACGGGTCTTGTAGGTGTGAGGCATACAAATCCCCTCTGCTGCCCCTTGGAGGATAAGGGAACAGTAGCAACGCTAATTCTAGAAGGTCCCTGCGGCACAACCGTGTAAGGCCCGTTAAAAGCGTGTCCTTGGCAAAACCGTGGGCAAAGGGTTCTTACGTTCAGCAAAATGCGATGCCAGATTTTGTCCCTCGGCTGTACAGAGGGGCCCTTTTCGCAATCGAAATATTGCTCCAACACACCGCTTGCTGTTTTTCACCACTTCAGTACCTTAACTCACTGTTCACTTAACGGCGTGGAATATGTTCTTTTTGTCTCCAGCCAGTATTGGCCTCCTAGTTGATGCTTGAATGCTGCAAGGGTGGCCAAGCGCGTGGTTCATGTGGGACATCCGCCTGTGCAGCTACGAAAATCATTATCTCTACCGGGGGCAAAGTCTGACAATGTCAGATACGTAGGAAAAGGAATGCAACTGCAGAATATACCGAATTTGGGAGTAGAGGTACACCGAGAGCTACGCAGGGAAGATACGTGCATTGATCGCAGATGGCAATTTGCCAAGAGACCCGATGGCTGTTGGGTTGTCGCTGGCAAGGTGCCATTATAGCTGTGCTACGTTATACCCTGGCCAATACACCGTCAAACTGTACCAAAATTCTTTGAGTTCTGTGCCCAAAAGTTGCCGTCTGGGAGCGTAAGTGCATAAGGGAATGCAGCTGAACTTTCAAGTTCTACTACTAGTGCGGATTTTGTATCAAAATGTTGAAGAAGCAGCATCTTGACCCTAGCCCTACGTAAGTTGCTTTCTCCAGTCAGCTCTGCTTCTGTCAATAGAAGGAATTACCTTTGGCGAAAAAATGCACCCTCTGGAATAATCATTTTCCCTGTACAAGCTAACGGAAACCTCACGAGGGGCAGGCGCAAGCCGATGGGATAGCTATATGGCCCTGCTTACCGCGACTGGCGCAATGCATTGGGCGTTTTCAGAAATCAAATGTACAAGGCTGTACAGTTCCCGGGACGGCATGAAGGGATCTATTCGAGCTACAAGGCAACGACTTCTTCGAGAAACGTGCAGTAGCTTTGCATTCATTACAGAAGAACAATGATTTCCTCACGAAAAAGCTCCCCTTGGCAGTGAACTTGCATTTCCCAGAATGGTAGGAGACTTCAGAAACTATGGAGTGTTGGCGTTCATGACGGGCTCACACTTCCTATACAAGATATCAAAAATGTTCCAACACATCCGAGTCTCTATAAATTCGGACCGATACGGGTGGCTCTTCTTTTGGTTTTTGCATAACGAGCGTGCCAAAAGAAAACGCCAGGGCTTGTACGATCGTGTTTCGCAGATGAGGGGAGATGCTAAAGACTGTTGCCTGTTAGCGTCTGCCCGTTCTCCCATGCCGCCTCTTTCCCTTCGCCTTGCTCATCTTCTTCTTCCTATGTTTTCGCACAGATTTTGCATCATCCGTTTGCTTGCTTGGATCTTGAGGACTCAGCGACTCCCCTGCTGGCTCCTTACTCAGTAAACCATGATCCAAAGGATCACCATCAGCCACAGCGCTGTCTGCGGCTGCGACAGGCTCCCTGCCTGTGCCAGCAATATTCCTTGGTTCCACTTCGTTGTGAATTTGGCTAGTCTTATTCCGACAAGACTTCCTTTTCTTTTTTCTGGAATTTGCCTTTGGTTCTTTCCTGTCGCCCAAGGATTCAGCAAATGCTGTATTTGGCCGCGCTTCCTGATCCACTATGTAGTCAGTGGACAGGCGTATGTCCGCATTATGTTCCTTCCGTATTGCGTTTGCTGCATTTGCGAGGTGCGTTTCATCATTATCTCTCTGGGTTCCCTTGAAGGCAAGTGTCGGAGAAATTGTTTGATGATCTTCACAATTTGGTTCCGTACCCAAGCCCACTGTCTGTCCAGTGGAGGAGCAGCATGTTTCCGCTTGTTGATCCTTTTTGTTTGCTATCTCCTTTTCTTTTTGTTGAGCCCCGGGAACAGAAGGGATAGAATCGACTGTTCGATGGTCCTCTTCTAAACCACTGGCGGAAGTCAGGCACATGAAGGAAATTGGGGAGGAGGTAACTCTGCTATCATTTCCTGGCACTGTCTCTTGAGATGTGTTGCGGCCTTCTTCCTGATGTTTCAGCCTTTCCCCCAAGACCGGCGTGTGTGAGTCGATGAAATTTCTGCCAAGTGGCTCGGGGTGCTCAACTTCTCCTTCTTCTTTTTTCTTATTCGTCGACGACGAAACGGCTAAAGGCAGGTCGCTATTCCCATCATCTGGCGTACCCTTCTTGGCATCGGCTAAAGCATTTAGGGGTCGTTCGTTCGCCCCTTTCTCCGCAACAATCCTAGCCCCGGCTTGCTGCTCCGGCGATTCGAGTTCAGTGGTAGATTGCGCAATTCCACAATCCTCAGGCTTCTGCAACTTCCGTACGGGCTCCTGAGGAGTTGACAACTCGGGACACCTCCTTTCAGGTATCTGATCGCACGGCACGGCGCCTCGAGAACGCCGCTTGTTCGGCTGGTTAACAGCTCCCACGCTCCTCCAGCACAAGCAAGGGACCAAAATTTTTAATTTCCCCATGGCTATTTCACGCCGATGAAGTTTCAGGACTTTGGCAAGTGCTGCGGTTCTTGCCGTGAAGAGAGCGGTCGCCAAAGCCCACCGGGGGCCCACGGTACCTACGTTGGGCCTTGCTCCTCAGAAACTCCACACCGAATAGCCTACCAAAAATAAAAAGTGATAAAGGGGTGCCACTGTGCGGAGGGGCAAGTTCATAACAATTTCCCGTTTCTGTGTGCAGAGTTGGTGGTGACGGCGGCCCCACAGCGCTGCTGGCGCTACCTCGCGAGTCCCCTGTACCGCCTCAAGATTCGATACTTTGTTCCGAACAACGCAGACACAAAAAAAGGAATGGGCAAAGATGCAGAGACAGCGTCCCGTTGCAACTACGCGCTCTCGAGGGACTGTCGTCCTCGCCACCTCGGAGGGCAAGTGGCGCGGGGTCACGCCTAACAGCTGCTCTTTAGAGTCTTAAAAAAGTGCATTTAAGTGTATGCATATAATGACTTTCTACAGAGATGGTGGCAGGCTTGCTGAAAATGCAATGGTGCTTACGGCCCAGTCGAACCGCGAGGGCCGAGCGGGTGGGTGGGTGGGTTTGGCTGCTCGCAATTAGCTTGTCACTTGCTCGATCCAGCATGCGGATAATTTTACCCATAAGCCGAAGTTTTGATCCCAATACATTTTGTTAAAATTTGCACTGTCAGTAATATGACGACACAGGCGCAAGGTATCGAGACTTCAAATGAATCGCCAGGCCTCCATGCGCGGTGTGATGCGGCGTGATTACGCTAGCTGCAAGGCAGAATTGCAGTGGATTCTAAAGAGCAGTATGCTTCATTCGTCAAAACAAAAAAAGGGTCAAGAAAAACTTTGCCCCAGCTGTCACCTTTGTGTTAGTACCTTCTCTGACAGTGTAGTAACGAGAGTCCTCGACCTTAGGCGACGAGGGTCGTCGTGAGCTCTATAGAGCAAACATACTTGAAATAGGAGTTCTCCGGAAGCCTCTGACCTTCTCTTGGGTTTACAGGAGAGCTGAACCCAGCAGTAGAAGGACCTGGGGTGGGTATTAACCAACGGCAGCCTGAGATGCGTTCCCGAATGGATCGAGAGTTGTCGATCTTTTCCGACGACCGCCGTGAGCTGTAAAGAAGTCAAAATAAAACAAGTCCCACTAAAGCAGATAAATCCCTTTCCAGTCCCTAGGCGTCGTGGGCAAAGCTGCCCAAGGGCCTGGGCTACTGCGGCGAGGAGGCGGTATGTCACGAGCTGCAACGCACCTACGTGCAACTAATGCAGCAGAGCAACCCACGGGCAAGACAACCTATCCACCTTTGCTGCACTCGCTAACACTATGGACAGTTGTTAAACACATGCATTGTCCCTCCTAGCCAGCATGAGAGCGAGCATAGATAAACGTGCCAACTTTGGTGAGACGCAGCAAGGTGTGCTGTCGTGCTGTGCAGCATTCTACACAGCACGACAGCGCACCTTGCTGCAACTCCTACTGCACGATGAATCCACACCCAAGCATAACTAATCCCGATCTGTTGCATGAACTAACACTGTAAATGTCCGCTAAACGCTTATATGGCTTTCAGTAGCAAGTAGAAATAAATATGTATAATTTCAGATCACGCTACATCAGCCCCCCCTGACCCTAAACAGCGTGCGCCCTTGTGTGTCCCGATGCTCGACGTTGGTGCCTCTTTGTGGGGAGAGTTCGAGGAAGTTCCGTTGATTTCCTGAACCATTCCAAAAGACTACCAGTAATGGTAAGGTTATATTCTCAAGTTGCGGGTACGTCGACTACTGAAGCCACCGCGCTAACTGATTGACGAACAGCCAAGGGATCTCCCCAACGCATGGCAAAAATTTTCGGCCTCTCCCCCTCCTGCGCTTTTGAAAAGAACCCGAATTTAGGGAAGCCAAGTTGCCATGGTTAAAGAAGACAACAGAACATCGAAGTTTTTCTTCTTGGCTTTCTTGTGCCCTCTTGGTGCGTCCCCTCGGCGCTGCAGGCAGTGTTCGGATGTCGAAGGCTTCTGGGTTACGAGGCTGGCTTTCGACAGTCAAGCCTAACCTCACGATGGTGTTTTCGTGCAGGCCAGGCAGGCACGAGAGCAACGGCCCGAAGAAAGCACTGGTGTATTCTAAAACCATTCCGCTCAGAGAAAAAACTTACGCCACCTTGGTAAATATGAGTGGGCATAGAGTGGAGCATAACGCATAATCCAGTCTGCCATCCACGAAGCGTAGGCGCAGCAATTGCATCAATAAGTATTCAGCAAGATTGCACCTCCTCGTCGTAGTGTAATGTCCACTTTGCAGCCGGCTCCAATTAGAGCGGGGTAACACGAGCGCAATAATACGAATTTGGATTATCAGAGAGTTGGCTCGAATTGTCTCCGCAGGAGCGGTTGCAACCTCTTCCGCCCCCACAAGTGCGCCGCCCGTTGTGTGAAGGCCAGGGCGCTTCCATCGTTGCTCTGTTGGTTTCCCTGGCGATGCTGCTCACACTTTATTTCTCCAGTTCCTAACCGTTTTTTTGCTATTACATTCTCGAATTATGCGGAACTGCATGTTGCAAAGTAGCAGATGCGCCGCTCGAAACAGGTGCCCGACTGTGTGAGTGCCGAATTTTTCGGTTGCTGTCCGTTGTAGCTTCCCACGTGCTTCTGCGCCGGGATGGCATTTACAGCCCCAACATTTATGGGCTCTATAGTTGGATCGCCTCCGAAACTTTCCTCTTTCTTCTCAACTGGAGCGATGAGAGTGGCGTTTTTCCACTCTTCGATGCATAAGTATTCCATGATCACAACAAGCTCACCCTTTCTACCTCTCATGCCCCTCTTCTCGGCCCAGACAGTTACGAATTGCCTCTTTCTAGTGGACGGCACCGCTAGTCACAAGGTCTGGGTCCACCGCTGGAGTTCCCTTCGCTAAAGAATGATACTTCTCAGATAAGCGCTCTATCGAAAACTTCCCGGTTGAAGTTTCCTCATTTCTCCCATAGCCAGTTCGCTTGACAATCTGTGAATGAATCTACTAGCAGTGCAACTCAGAACCAGACCACCATGTTGTCGTTAGTGGGCTTTGCCTAGCCCCAGCTGCCCCAATGAATCATCGGGTGTAACCAAGTGTGGCGAGAGTCGTTGATCTTAGCTGATGATCATTGTGGGCTGTAGCAAGGTCAAATAGTTAAGATATACGTTTGTAACATACAGTAGGATTCTTGTCCAGCCCCCATGCGCCCTGGGCACCGCTGTCGAGGGCGTGGGGATGCGGCGGAGACGAGGCGGCCTCGCATGAGCTGCAACGCACTTTGTTGCACCTCCTGCTACAGGGCACACTCGCTTAAAAAGCACAGCCAAACCTTCTTTGCTATATTCGTTAGCACTGGAGGTAGTTTTAAAACGCTTTGCCGACCCTCAATATACAGCCTGCGGCCAAGGGGACCTTCCAACTGAACACAAGTTGACCATGCTACAGGCACCATCTATAATTGCCTTTCGCTCAAGCCCGGCCGCAAACGCGGCATCCGACATACACACTGTATATGCGTCTGGTGGGAAATGTAACGTTTCGAGGGCTGGAGCCGAGACAGAGGAACCTAGTTGTGCATTCGCCTTCAGCGCTATGGAGTCCAGTTATTCCCAGGCATGACGACGACTAGTATTATTCACAGCTTAAATGCCTTAGTATTGAGTTAGCTGTTGCAGAGGTTCATGCCTGCTGGCCAACCGAAACTGTTTAACCTATCTTCGAGTGCTTGGGCTACGATCTTAGAGATACGCTTGAGCAATTACAAGGAGCAAGTCCCCGTAGGATGGAGGTACAGGTGGGTGGCCGAAGGGAGTCTTGCGTTTTTTTGTGGTTTGTTTATTTCCGCTATCTACTCTGAAGAATCGTGGATACTTAGCCAGTATATCCACTCTATTATATGACGAGTACATCAGTCGCTCAGCAGCATCAGCCAAAGTGTGGACCCCCTAGGCACACATTCAGAGAGAGCAAACCTCCTATAACTCGCACTCGAAAGCTAATTGAGGGAAGGGCAACGAAAAGCACGACTTTTCTCTGCTTTCACATCGTCGACTTAGCTGCTTGGTGACGGGCTGAACCGCCTGGTCTAACGTGTACTTAAAGTAGATTGGAAATGAAAGAGGCAAACCAACAACAAGAAACGAGGATCCGCATACTTAACGCTAGAAGTGAAATGGTAAGCCGTAGCTTCTGATTCTGCAGACCGCCTCCGCCTGGGGCCCGACAGACATGTCACGCGGCAAAGTTTTCCTCTCCATGTTCTGAGACCCAGGAGTGGAAGCTGCCATTCCAAAATTGCACCTGCCAATTAGGAGTGGTACTCATGCGAAGTCTCGCAGAGTACACAGAACCACACACTCGCAGTCTTACGACTGTAACGGGAGTTCTCGATTTTATCCGAGGACGGCCGTGAGTTGAGCTCGTGCTAAAAGGCTTGTGGGAAGGATACCTAAAATGCAGCTGACCTCTTCCCCAAACCACAGATGAGCACAGTGGGATACGGAACTGCAGCCGGAGGCGAGAGCCCTGAGATAGGCTGCAGCGCACCTCTTTCCAGCTAGTGCTGCAACTAACCTCCACATGCAAGTCCTACCCAATCCCACTTTGCTGTCTGCAATAACGCCGTAGACAATTGTTGAACTTCTGCTTGGGCGGAAACTGCATTCTAAGGGCGAGGAAGCATTTAGGTTCCAACCCCCGACAGGGCATGGTATAACAGTTGCGTCCCCCATCACGAGGGACCGCAGGAAGGCTGGACAGCGTGTGCACACACCACCATGGTGTCTCAGTTCAGCCTGGCCTTCGAGGAACTAATAAGTGGAAAAAGCGGGAGCTTCATCTTTACATATTCGTGTAAGGAAGCCACCTCCTACCGCGCTGCAGCCATAAGATATCCTGGAAGCCAGAGTTATTGTAAAGGCCGGCCAGCGAGAACGTGTGAAGTGGGTCTACTTGTAAGTATCGGTCTCCACTAATCAGCAAGACTCTAAAGAGATGAGTTCCTGTAAACCTTCTATACTGCTTTTAATGGACCCGTTGCTCTGCATGCTGAGCAGCTGCTGGCAGCCAGCAGCATGTGGCCGCGGTGCTGATGTGCAGGCGGCGCTTCTCGCGGCGCGAGCCGCGAGCCGGCCGCTTGAACTTTCAGGGGGCTTTGCTGTGCCTTTGGGTTGGAGGCCTTTCGCATAAATCCCCATTATCAAACTGTAATTACTGACTAGTTTTGATTGCCGTGACGGCGGCCAAGTCCCGCCATTCTGCAGCGGATCTTCGGGTTGGCCGGGGATTCGTTGACCCGGCAGAAGCATGCCACCTGTTGGCCTCTGCGTCGCTCAGTGACTCCATCCGTTTAATCAATTTCTTGTCACATCATAGTAGTTGTTTGTGTACGCGGGCACCGCCATCTCTCAGCGTCCTCCCGGTGAAGCCGTAGGCTCGCCTTCCCCTCTGGAGGTCCCCGGGGCTTTGGAGAGCGGGCGCGTACACCTTTGCCTCACGTTTCCTCCTTGTTGCTCTCGCAGAACATCGCATCTACCGCTGCAGAGCCTGGGGGTGCGATCGCCACCTTCTCCTGGTGGCCCTTTTGCAGGAACCCTAAGAATGGCTGTCCCGCACTGTTTCATACAGGGCACCAAGCAGCAGTGTGGCTTTGGAGCCTTCCAGGCCCGTAGCATTCGCAGAGCACTCTGATATCGAAGCGTAAACTGCTTTTCTTCGTGCAAGACGCGCGGGCGGGGAAGGCCGCGGCAGTGGCAGGGCTGTGCGGTCCTAGTGGTGCTTGGCACAACTCGCACGCGCCACCCACAGCCGCGGCAGAGCTCTTTGGGATTGTCTCTGTCGCTTATTTGCATCGTATTAACGTTTGTTTCTGCCGTTGACGGGGTGTGAGAAAGTGACTGCAGGGGTTCTTGCAGGCTGGAGTATCAAGGACCCACGGTAAAGACGAGTTCCTTTTCAACGTATCCTGCTTACTAGCTGAGCAGAACTTGTGAGAGGGCGAATTTATAAAGGCAGCGTTATCATTGGTGCTCTGGACTGTGCTGCGGTTGGCGTGCATTCGTCGGCCTTGCAGAGGAGTCATACTGTTGCTTGTCAAGGCACATGGGTTGCAGGGACTGTGCTTGAATCCGTCTACACATTCGAGTGCGCCCTGGCCAAGTTTGGTTGCTTCCTCAACAGGTGGGACTGCTTGAGGAGGCTGTTGGTGTTTCTGCGCAACGCTCTGGCGTGGTGGCTTCCCATTGAATCCTGCAGCACCTGTGCTTGCTGCAGTTATTCTGCAACGGCTGCCCAGGGAGCGGAAGCCGCACGTGCGGCTCCCGAAGGCGAGCCGCAACTGGCACGAGTGCTGATATGCTGCATAGGAGCCTCCAATGAATAGCCCGCCACTATGGCGCACCATGCAGACAGTTCAAAATCTAACCAAAACCCTCTTAGAGATGCCAGGATTGGCGGCATCTGGCGCCTGGGCCGTAAGATCGGGTCCGGGTCCTTTGGAGACATCTACAAAGGTAAGGTTTCAGTGTTTCACGGCGGTGGAGCGCGCTACGTGGACCTGCAGTGCATAGTCGTTGAGTAAACGTGGATGTAGATCGAGCAAGCCACATGCGTGTACGGCCTCGTTGCAGTTTTGGAAAGGTGGAGGCACTGTGCTCCAAGCCAGCCAGCCAAGGGACTTTTTCTTATTGTATGGTCTTTTGCGGGTTTTGGCTGCTTTTCTTGTAGGTGTGAATGTACAGACTGGAGAGGAGGTGGCGATGAAGGTAGAGAGTGCCAAAGCAAAGCACCCCCAGCTCATTTATGAGTCCAAGCTCATAAAGCATCTACAAGGGGCCCCTGGCATAGCACAGATCTACTACTGTGATGCGGAGGCTGACTTCAACATCATGGTCATGGAACTGCTGGGCCCTAGCCTAGAGGATCTGTTCAACCTGTGCAGTCGGCAGTTTACGCTCCGGACTATTCTGATGATCGCTGACCAAGTTGTGAGTACTCGCGTATCACTTTGCGAAACTAATGATGCTTCCTGGGACGTGTGTATAGGACACTATTTCGAATTCACGCAACTCAGGATACTGCCGTGGTTGGGGTTACGGTTGCTGACGGCGCGTTTGTAGTGTGGCCGCCTCGACTTTCATGGGTGGTGGGCGCAGCTCGACCGCGTTGAATATTTACACAGCAAGAATTTCATCCACCGCGACATCAAGCCGGATAACTTCCTGATCGGCAGAGTGAACGGACCTCACCAGAGTGTGGTAAGAGCCATTTTGTGCTGTTACGTTCGATAAGTATTGCTCTGTGCTAGGGCCTGTGAGCAGATGTACAAATCGCATGCATGCGAATGTAACTGGTGGTGCCTTGAGTCCCACATTGTCTCTGTGCTGGATGCTCAGATATACATGATAGATTATGGGCTTGCGAAGAAGTACCGTGATCCGAAGACACACCAGCACATCCCATACCGAGAGAACAAGAACTTAACAGGGACAGCCCGTTACGCCTCCATCAGCGCACACCTGGGCTCCGAACAGAGTCGGAGGGATGATTTAGAGGCTGTGGGCTACGTCCTCATGTACTTCTGCAGGGGTGAGAGACAAGTGGTAGCAAAGGACTACTCTGAGCATCACTGATGGACGAAGCATGCATGCGTGGACACGCAGGGTGTATTCTTCCACTCAGGGTTCGTTTGAACAGTGATATTATGCATCTCTATCCTGTTGTGGCGCAGCTGGGACGCTACCCTGGCAAGGCATTAAGGCGAACACAAAGCAGGAGAAATACCACAAGATCATGGAGAAGAAGATGTCTACTCCTGTTGAGGTCCTATGCAAAGGGTATCCCGGTGTGTGCACTTGCCCAGCTGACTTCTGTGTATCAGATCTCCTCCTTAGCAGTAGACACAGTTGGACCCATTGGGGGCTGTTGCAACAGTGGCTATCACATAGATACTTCGTGACGTAACCGGCCGCCGTATATCGCGCTGTGGATGTGCTACCTCTTTAGCGGAATTTGCTACGTATCTTAACTATTGTCGGCAGCTCCGCTTCGAAGATCGGCCGGATTATGCGTATCTCCGGGGGCTTTTTAAAGATCTCTACATTAAAGAGGGATTCGATGTAGGCCGCATTCTCTTCTTCACGTTGCATATGCCTTTTAAGGATGTTTTCTTCGGTAGCGGGGGGCCTTTGCAGGAATTCTTCGATTTACTTGCGGGATCTCTGGTGTGTCTCTGGTGTGTGACTGTCCGCAGCAGCAGGATGCTGCATTCGATTGGACGCCGAAGCTGAATGCTCGGAATTCCAACCTTGGTCACTCGGTGAGCAGAGTTTGTGCCTAGGTTGAGGTCTAGATGTGTGCAGACTCCGTTTGCGCACATCTAGACCTCTCTTGAAGATAGCATGTTGGCCGCCGCATAGCACGCAGCTGTTGTATTTCTGCCGCAAGTGGGAGTCGTTATTTTGCATCGCAGGGGGATCGCCTGCATGGCCACTGCAGCCAGGAGCCACGGCATCGCTCTAGAAGGGAACAAGATAGGCTTGCGCGTAAGGTTTTACAAAAGTGTTCCGCATTTTCACTGGTATGTTTGGGGCTCCTGGCAATCAAATGCCGGCCACAGAGTATTGTTGCTGTCATTGTGATGCAGCGGGACGGAGCCGAGATGCCAGTAAGAACCAAGTCGCCGCGGGAAACGGCAATTTAGTGAACCCTTCGATGGCAACGAACCCGGGCGGACCCTCGTATGTCGATATTTCGCTAATATTGCATTTCAGAGCCAGCTTTTTGTTTCGACGGTGCTGGTCACTGACTTGTCGCAGGTCACGCTTGCACGTGGGTGGATTGTTATATTTCGATTGGTTTTCTGTTTTTTGTCCGACTCAGAGTTATGGTGCCAGAGCGCGCGGCTGGTGAAGGCGCTGTGCAGAATGCACTTGAGGCGCAGCAGGAGAAAGATGAGACGTAAGGAGCATGGCTTGTTTGTGTCCGTCGAATGCCCTGTATTTGCTATTGTCCTTCATGTTGTATGTTGAGCTGCTATTATTTATCCCTTCCATCAGGAGAGCCGTACTTGTGGCTTTCACGTGGACATAGCCTCCAGTTTCTTGGTTGGCTGGGTAGGGCGATTCTGTGTGGTTCGGGTGCTTTTTTGCAGGACAAAACAGCGCAGCCATTTGTCTTGCTTGCCTTTTGTAAGACTAATCATGCCTTAGTTGTCGCTGCGGCTGAGCTCTTGACGCTTCCTGTGGCTGCACCAGAGTTGTTTTAGGCCCAGTGAACGTCCTGCGTTGTGGTTTGTTTGTCCTCCAGTTTTGTGTCAAATCCCCCACGAAGACCTGAAAACCGGACATCGCCTTCACGCATTATGAAGCAACGATCTGAATTTGGCGTAAGCAAGCACGCGTCGTCGGTGGAACGGATGCGCAGTTGATCTGTGTGTAAGCTCCGTCGTTGGACCCGTCGCGTGTTCATTGTGTCATCCGAGGGAAGGCAAAGCACGGAGACGCGTTGCGAATGGCAGGGGCCACAGCTGCTTGAAACTTCTGCAGCGTCACCAGAGACGAGTCTTGGCGACCATGTTGCTGGCTGCACTGACTATGCATCGAGGGGCCGGGCGCAGCCGGTTTTTTGCCGTGGACAGTAGTGCGCCACCGGGGGCGAACGCCATCACAGATCCGTGCTAAGTAGCTTAACAGGTAGAGAGCTTTTGGCAGTTCGGAATCCCAGCGCTGAAGATGCTCGCGGATCCAGAGGCGTTGGCTAGCGCTCGAGTTGTGGACGCGGCAGATGACCCGTGGTGCCGGATTGGAGCTACCGTTGTCTCAAGCTTAGTGTAGAGACTACTCCGAGTACCAATGAACTTTGAGTTAGCTGTTGGTACGATCTGCCAACTTCCCGCGAGAGTCCTGGTAGTCAAAAAGGGCTATGTGTGGTGCAGCCGTTGAGCGACTTGAGCAGGGTACCCGAGGCCCATGGTTTCCCCTCGGTACAGTGCGCTTCGTTGCCCCTAATGCTGCAATGGTAGAAGCAGCGGCACGGCAGGGTAGCGAGGTTTCTCAGTTTTGTGCCATGCGGGCAGCGACAGCTGTCCGGCGTCGGGATATACGCGCTTCAGGGACTAAGAAACGACAGTAACTCAAAGACACTACATAATATTTTGGTTCTTCAGCTGCTACTGAGCGCACTTGCTGTTTGCACAGTATGGAAGTTGCACGACGACGCTGCTCGTTTCTGTGCAGATGCACTGATAACTACTCTCGAGCACTGATGCGACAGCAGTTGTCCGTCGAAGCTCTGCTTACGAGATGTGTATGCCGCCATCTGGGGGCTTAAAGCACGTTCGCTGGTTGACGCAAACTCGCGTGCGTTTGCCAGCGAGTGTACGCTGACTCAGCGAGATCATTTCCGTCACACCTGGCCCTACGCAACAAATCTCTGTAGGCTTTTTAAGCACTGCTCTAACTTTGTACACTGTTGAGTGGCGGATTCCAGTGCTGCTTGATGCACCGCGAGCACTTGTGAGATGGCGGCTACTGGGTCCGGCTGAGTCCTCCGAGCCGCCTGGGCGATAGCAGCACTCAGCTCATCCATCTGGGCGTCAATATCTAGAACACGCTGTGACATGCTCTGCTCGACGGTGGAGCAAACGCTTCGCTGTTCCTGGGTAGAAAGCTTTGCCAACAGGCTGCTTTCTATCGACGCCAATAAGTTTGAGAGATCGTTCTGTTGTTGCTCAATCATGTCAATGGTTTCACCAACGAACAGCTGCCGGCGGTGCACGCGCTGCTGCTCCTCGCGTATGCTGGCGAGGGCCCTGGATTGCGTAGTAAGAGAAGCTTCTACCGCAGCCACCTCCTGGGCCAGTTCATCAAACTGTCCCACCTTCCTCTGTAGCCTCCTCTCCCAATTAGTCAGAAGATCGTCCATCCTTTCATGCTGCATTGTCTCTAATGCAACCTCTTCTGGGGGAAGCACCGGTGTGTTTCGAACGGGTGATCCCGTCGCTGGGGCGGTGTCCGTCTCACCACTGCTTCGTGACTTGGCTCCGAAGAGGGAGCCGATCGCTGGGGCAGCACTCGGAGCAGCAGAGGTGCTACTAGCACCGGGAAGAGTTTGACTCTGCCCACTGGTCGTATTCTGCTCGAGTGCCGGTGATGGCAAAGAAACCGCCTCGCTTCCTTTCTGCCCGCTTTTCGCCTCTGATGAAGGCTTTGCAGTACCCGCCAACGAGCCGCCAGCGCTGCCGCTGCTTCCAGATGCACCAAAGCCAAAAAGGGGTGGCCCGCTCGCTGTGCCTGCCTGCCCGGCTGTCTGCGGCTGCTGGGACGCTTCCGAGACGGCAGCTGGGGTGGTCCCGAACAAACCGCTGCCCTTTCCATCAGTCCCTCCACTAACACCTCCAACAACGCCGGGGGCATTTCCGAAAAGAGTACCACCACTGGCTGTTTTTGTTGCTTCCCCTAAGCTCCCGAAAAGGCCAGTTCCTTTCGAAGCATCAGACGTTCCGCTGCCTGCGGCGGCCCCAGCGGCTCCTGCACCAGTTAAGGCAGTACCTGACGAACTCTTTCCGCCTGCAGGTTGATTCGTCTCAGAAGTTTCTGATGAAGAGGGGCCAAACAGCCCTCCAGAAGATGAGTCTGGCTTGGAACTCGTCGTTGTAGCGCTGCTGCTGCCGAAGAGGCCCCCTTTTGGAGCCTCCCCTGTGCTTCCCGTTGCCGAGATCCCCCCAAATAGTCCTCCTGGCTTTGTGGCCTCATTTGGCTTGTTGGCTGCAGTAGTTCCACCAAATAACCCTGATTTTGTGGCGTCAGACAACCCAGAGGCTGCGCCTGCACTTCCGCCGAAAAGGCTTCCTTGTGGAGCATTCTGTGTATTTCCAGCGGAAGCAGCAGTGCTCCCAAATAAACCTCCAGTGGCTCCGGTTGTCGCACTGCCTCCTGATCCTAAACCGGAGGTTGTATTACTACCGAAGAGCCCCCCAGCTGTGCCGGACGGCAGGCCTGCACCGCCGCCGAATAAACCCCCCGCGGAGGGTGTAGAATTCGATGCAGTCGATCCAAATAATCCACCCTCTTTTGGCGGTGTCACTGGTGCCGCCGCACCACCCGTAGCTGGGGCTGCAGTTGCAGCTGCCGGAGCACCAAACAAGGACCCGGGGGCTGTAGTGCCGAATATGCTGGAAGTCGCCCCAGCACCAGGAGCCTGCCCAGTGGAACCGAAGAGTGTCCCGGAGGTGGCAGGCGTCCCCGTTGTTGGGGCAGTACTGCCTGAGATGTTTCCAAATAGGCCTGAGCCTCCGCCGCTTAGCATCGTCTCCTCCAAACTTCACTCTCCCTGGATGGCAAGCTATTAATGGGCACGACCATGTATTTCCCTATTTTAAGCTCGCATGCGGCTCAACATAATATCACGCAGGTAGAAAGAAGAGTTCCTTGGTGGTAATCGACGGTCTGCAGGGGCTGGGGCTTGGGGATTAACGAACAGCTGCAGCGTGAACGCAGCCTGTTTGGGTGTAGGTTCTGACAATGCCCTAAATATGCATAAAATACAATTTTACTGAAAGGGTGCAATTCTTGAGAGAGCGTGTAGGCGTCAATTCTTTCGGATCTGTTTAATGAAAGCACGTTGCTGTACTCTGCAGACATCTCACGCAGCCCCAAAAGTTACAAAATATGGTTGAATTTACGGACGATCCAATTGCTTTACAGACATGGATCAGCAAATTTGTCTTTTTATTTATTGATGTTTTGTCAGATTATGCCTCCTCCGCAATCTAGGTCCACTGTAGAGTCAGCATCACGCCGTCCTCGCCTTTCAATAACCGAATGTGTGAAGTTCTGCGTGTAGTTCGCGCTTTCTTATTTATACTCGGATTCTTCCTTGCGTGCTTGCTGGCTGCTGATGAACAACTCACGGTTTATGATTGTCTACAGTGTTGGTGCTTGCGTCACCTGAGGCGTGGTTAGGCTTGAGTGTGGGGTTGGCTGCGGGAGTTGCAGCAAGGTGCGATGTAACTAATGGAAGGCAGCGTCCACTCCTGACCTGCAGGAGTTGCAGGTGCGGTGCAACTGATGGGAGGCAGCATACATTCCCTACCTACCACCCGGAGGCCTGGTGAGCCGAGAAAAGCCCTGCACCTTTTGGGTGGAATCTTCTCTTCACCATTTCGACTTTATTACGGCTCACGGAGGTTTCCGGCTAACCTTGAGGGCATTCCCCAGGGTTAGTAGGACCAGGCTGCTGTGGGGGGGGGAGCGGTCAACGACCACCACCTGCAAAGCTGGGAGCCTGGCGAATAGCATTGATTGGTTGTGAGGGCGTTTGGCCCAAGAAAAGAGGGGTAACTCTGTATATAGACCCTAAGCTTTGTCAAAAATCCAGATTTTCCTGCCCTGCGCCTAAAATTGATCAATGCATGTCTTCCAGGAAGGCGGCCAGCGGCTGAATGCTCCTTTGCGGTGAAACTATAGAATCTTTTGCACTCCATCTAGCAGAAACATTTTAAAAGCCCCCGCACGATTAATTAAGAAGTGCTTCTGCAACCATGGCGTGTCAAGCAATGGTTGACACGCCGTGGCCCTCACAGAAACTGCAGAACACTGGTGGTGCCGGAAGATGGCTTCGGCGCTTGCGGATTCACCTCCAGTCAAACCTGAGCGTATGCACGGTCGTATTATTTGCCAGAAGTTTCTAGCTCTTCCTGGCACATGACGCAAAGTTTACCTTATGTCTGAAGCTACGGCAAAGAGGCGCAACCTTCGTCTGGAAAAAACGATGGTAGGCGCAACCTTCGTCTACCATCATTTTTTCCAGTCTTGTGCAGTGCGCGGGTGGCGGACACGAAGAACAGTAATGAAATGGGAGTAAAATGCGACTGCTACTAAGAAATGGGTCATATTACCAGGATACGAGGCTTCTACGCTGGCCTCGTTCACCACAACATAATGCTAGGCAGGCAATGGCTGAGTCAGTGGAGAGGGTGCATTCGGCGTCCAGAGAAGGGGACACTTGGAGATTACGTGGCGGGGATCATTTTTTACATCTGCCAGCACGCCAAACAACATCTGCATCCCGTACAATATGAGGAATGGAATTCGTGGCCCAAGAAAAAAGGAGATGACACACGAACACGGTGCAGAGGCAGTGCTGGAAGCCACGGAGCAATGCATGCATTCCGTCGTGATGGTTTCATGCAAGCAGCAGTTTTGGAGTTTTAAATCTGGCTATCGCCTGACGAAAAGCGGACTTATGCCCAATCGAAGAAGCCTCCCCAGATGTATTAAGTTTCAAAGGGCTTCGAACTGCACGGAAAACCACTGGACGGCTAGTACATCACGCCGCGAACAGTCTTCGCGCAGCGTCAATCTTTGTTTCCAGGCCCAGCGCTGCGGCAGCCCGAGCCTCGGACAGGGCACTAAGGGGACCATTCAGGCGCACCCATGTTTGGTACCACCATTTTTAGCGTGCATTGCACCATACACAATTATATGTGGTGATCGGCTGCCGCACCACAGCATCAACGCATGCGGGATGCATCCGGGCGTTGCATCCCGCAGAGGGATCCCAGGAAAATATAAACATTTCCCCTCCTTTCTTCACTCCAAAAGCCTTCACGGATAATCAGTGATGTACACCAGACCCCCATCTTTGCGGGTGGCGTTCCCTGCTCTCTCCTGCCCCTGAAGAACCTGCTAAGGTCAGGGAGTGTTGCAAACCTTAGCTGAAGACAGCTGTGAGGTGCAATAAAGTCAAAACGGTGAAGATACGAGTTTAGTACAAAGCAGTTCGCCTTATCTCCCGTCTCCCGGCCTCCTGCACACCGCGACACAGGCGTCTGAGGCTGGTGACGAGAGGAGTTCCAGCACACTCTTGCCCGCAACCCAGCATGCAAGCATTAACAAGCCAACTGCGTTGCATTCACTAAGTCATAAGACGGTTGGGAAACACTGTATTGTCCATCAGTAACTAGAATGCAAACAAGAGGAGAGCAGATACCAACTTCAAACACATCGTGCTACACAAGCAGCAGTACACGAACGAGCATCAGGCAGTGCACGCGACACAAGCCCCCGTTTAGCATATGCTCACAATAGAAGAAAGCGAGGAATATCTGTGGCCCCCAGTAGCGCCAACCTGCAAGCAAGCTGAGTCCATGTACCACCTTCAGGTAGACCACCTTACAACAAACACAGCGCTGGTGTGGTGAACTGCGGTTACGCTTTGCTCGGGGACAATGTAATTCTTGATTTGAAGATTCGGCCCAACAACAGGTACTTCGTCCCGACACAGCTGGTGCATTACAAATATCCCATACATCACTGGTTCATTTTGCAAATAGGGAGTGTCCATTAGAAGCCAGTCTTCGCATATTAACTCGTTAGAAGCTCCATAATTTCTTGACGTGGAGGAAATTTCTCATAAATTAGATACTTTGTTGGCTCTAGGGGTTGTAGCGGCGGCCGCCTTGCTCAGATCTTCGTGCTGGCGGTCCGCGTCTGCGCCGCCGCAGCCTGGAACTCTGGACAGCCCCGAACACGCATTCCTGAATATTGGGAGAAGTCTTACACATGCGCCTTATCAACATTCCTATTATAACTTCTGCTGCTAAGAAGCTTCTGCATTACTGCTCTGTGGTCGTTTTCTGCAGGAATATCGAACCAGCTGCCCTCCGGATATGCCATAGTTTTCCGGGACAGGCTGGAGGCCACACACTAGTGAATGCGTCACTTTATAAGCTTGTAGAGACGATTACTCATAAATAAGAGCAACAATGCTTGACAACTCACCACCCAGGCCAGCTGAGAATATCACCTGCAGCCGTTCCCACACTGGAAACGGCGGTGCAAACCCTTATGCACACCTGTTGGAGCGGTTGCATGGCTTCGATGAAAACATATATAACATACAGACGCTGGGGAAGGAGAAGGTTTCTCGTCTTCCGCACTGCATCCGTGTGCTATTGGAGTCTGCTGTTCGCAACTGCGATGGCTTCCTTGTCACAGAGGTTGATGTCGAGCGCATTTTGGAGTGGGATACTCTCGTCAACAAAAAGACCAATAGAAATACTGGTCCACTAGATGTTCCATTCATACCTGCTCGCGTTATCCTCCAGGACTTCACAGGCGTGCCATGCGTAGTCGATCTCGCCGCCATGCGCGACGCCATGGTCAAGCTCGGAAGCGACCCTCTGAAGATCAATCCCAAGGTCCCTGTGGACCTTGTTATTGATCATTCTGTACAGGTGGACAAGGCTAGAAGGTATGATTCCATATGATTCCACAGGAACACGTTTTGCCACAGCCGATAGCCTCAGTCACGTTTCCCGATCCTTGTGCGTGCCTCCCTTATCTCCCCTGTTTTATTCTCTCTTCGATGCAGCAAGGACGCTGTGGCATACAACGAGGAGATAGAGATGCATCGCAACAGCGAACGCTTTTCCTTCCTAAAATGGGCAGCAAAAACATTTTCCCAAATGCTTATTGTGCCACCTGGCTCTGGAATTGTTCATCAAGTGAACCTCGAATACCTCGCCAGGGTCGTAGTGACAAGGAATGGAGTGTGCTTCCCCGACTCACTTGTCGGAACCGACTCCCACACAACCATGATCGATGGGCTGGGCATTGTTGGTTGGTGAGACACTGTGGGCAGCTGCTGCACTGCACTACGTGATTGTTTTGTAAAGGTCATACGAATATCCTAAGCTAGTGCCTGCGTACTAAAATCCGAAATCTGTAGAGTTTGCAGAACAACAACTCCTCCATCTTTTCATGGCCTCCGGTCGTCGCTCACTTCTCTGTTTTCATGGTTGCTATGCGGCTTCTCCACGCAGGGGAGTGGGCGGCATTGAAGCGGAGGCGACTATGTTAGGCCAGCCAATATCAATGACGCTTCCGCCAGTTTTGGGTGTGCGTCTTGTTGGACGGTTGAACCCCGCTTGCACAACTACAGATCTCGTTCTGCATGTTGTTCGCATATTACGCACAAGAGGTGTAGTAGACCACTTTGTCGAATTTTTCGGGGAGGCCTGCGCCACACTCTCTGCTCCAGATAGAGCAACCCTTGCAAACATGAGTCCAGAATTCGGCGCCACAATTGGTTACTTCCCTCCTGATGAAATGACCCTCAAGTACTTACTTAGCACTGGCCGGAGCGCTGGAGAAGTTGAAAAGATCAAAGCTTACCTGTTGCAACAAGGGATGTTCAGGACCTACGACAAATCTGAGCCGGAAGTTTCTTATACAGGTGAATTGCCTCAACCGAAGTGAAGGGGAATATACATGCGATAACTTAATGGAATTTACGTGACCGATGTACTAGTAATGGATGCGGCTGCTGCAGACGTGCTGGAGGTGGACCTGTCCAAGATCGAGCCATGTGTTGCGGGTCCCAAACGTCCACAAGACGAAGTCCTTCTTCGCAACCTTAAAAAAGAGTTCATTGTGAGCTCGGAGTATAACCATTGAATGCAGCTTGAACGCCATTGCAATTGGCGCTTTTAGTTTCCGCAGAGGTGGATATTTTTGCGTGCAGGCAAGCCTAAGCGCTCCCACCGGTTTCAAAGGTTTCGGGCTGAAATCTGAGGCTGTCTCGTGCCGTGTCCCACTGACGTTCCAGGGCAAGACGTACGAACTCAGACAGGTAACACATAATGCCCTCGTGCACTAAGACGCCCAAACAGGTACTGCAACCAAGTCCACCACCTGCTGGAGCTCACGCACTTTTCTGTAAAGTGCTTGCGTTTGCACATCAGGGCTCAGTAGTAATTGCAGCCATTACCAGCTGCACGAACACGTCGAATCCATCCGTAATGGTTGGCGCTGGCCTATTAGCTCGCAAGGCAGTGGTGAGCTCTGCAGACTGTCTCCATGCTAGGAACGCTGCATGTGGATGACTGGGTAGCAAGCGTCCACGTCAGTCTTCGTTGCCGTCTTTGGCATCGAGCTTTGTTGCCAAGTGCGAAGTAATCGGATCCACTGTATGGCTTATTGGCATATTTCAGGAGCTGGGTCTTTCAGTTGCTCCGTACATAAAAACATCGCTCTCACCAGGCAGCCACGTTGTTCAGCGCTACCTCGAAGCTGCAGGCCTCTTGCAAGCCCTCGAAAAGCTTGGGTTTTACCTGGCAGGTTGGGATTAAAGCATGTTCTTTTCCAGCGCCACGATCAGTTTTCTTCAGGTAAAAGACGTCCCCCTTGCCTTGGCAAATCAGTCGCCACAGTATGGTGCATTTCTGACTGATGCAGGTTTTGGATGCATGACGTGCATTGGCAACAGTGGCGATCTTCCGGAGGTACGTAGTTGGCACTTCACAAAGGCACCGCTTGCAGCTTTCTTCTTTTGGGTCCTTCGTCGGTAGAATTAAGTTTTATCGGTTTCCCTCGGCTGAACTTTAAGTAGCTGCATGGCTGAGTCCTGTTGCAGGAAGTGACCGAAGCGATTCAGTCAAACTCCGACCTAGTTGTCTCAGCTGTACTCTCTGGTGCGCTTCCTTGAAGGACAATCCGAGCTGGCAGTCCGGTAGCGTTCGATTCTGAGAAGCGTATGCTAGCTCAGATTGGCGAAGCAGGCGTGGATTGTGCTGCGTATCATGCTGGGTTCTGAACTGTGGTGGCAGGAAATAGGAACTTTGAGGGTCGCGTGCACCCGCTCACTCGTGCAAATTACTTGGCGTCCCCACCGCTTTGTGTCGCTTTTGCCATTGCTGGTAGGCCTTTTTGTGAATCTTTTAGCGCAGGGCCCACATGAGCAACGCTGCTGCACGAGATGAACAATTTATTGATGCGGATTGTTGAAACATGTTCAGGTCGAGTGGACATCGACTTTGAAACTGAACCACTGGGTATTGGCACAAACGGTATGACACCCTGCCCTGTATATTTTCTGCGCGAGCAATGCATTGCCAAATAGTTCGCCCTGTCAGCATCTTGCGTGTTGCTTGTCTTTTTTCTGCAGGCAAGGAAGTGTTTTTGCGCGACATTTGGCCCAGCCCAGCCACCGTAAGTGAGGTGGTGGAAACCGTCCTTCTCCCGTCTCTATTCATGGAGGCCTACCAGAATATACAGCAAGGGAATGAGAGGTCAGTACAGCCCAACCCAAGAGACAGTTGAGCTCCCTTTTTCCAGGGTGCGCCGTCCACTTGCTTCCAATGAAGGCCGCATACGTGGAAGTCACGTGTACCAACTGCGTATTTGCATTTTGTGTACGTGGGTAGCGCAGCTGGAGAAAACTTGAAGCACCTGAGGGCGCGCTACTCAAGTGGCCCACCAATTCAACATATATTCACAGGCCTCCATTCTTTGAAAGCCTTACAGTGGAGCTGGATTTGATGGAGCCCATCACAAAGGCTAGATGTCTTCTTCTATTGGGTATGCCACCTACTGCAGCACGGGCACGGTGCCTTAGAAGTACCTAGTGCATTTGCCATCTAGTCACCATCTTGAGCTCAAAGCTGCGATTGTTTCTCTCAGGAGATAGCATTACAACAGACCACATTTCACCTGCCGGAAGAATCGAAAAGAATTCTCCTGCTGGCCGTTATCTTCTTGCCAAAGGCGTGACGGTAAGCTGCACCTGCACCAAATTACTATCTTGGCTTCTCAAGGGAGCATGCGGTTGAAATCCCACAACTGTTTCATCACACTTTTGTGACGTTCAAAGCTAACACAAGGGTAGCGTAGACGTTCAAGAGGACTAATGCTTCCGCTCACAGCAACGGGACTTCAACTCATATGGGAGTCGTCGGGGTAATGATGAAGTCATGACTCGAGGTTCGCTGTTGTTCAGCCCCGTGGAACCAGATCTTTAAACATGCAAAGAAATATCTTCCAGTAGTAAGACCAGGAAAAATTCCTGCTCGCTTTACATGGGGGCACGCGTATCATGCGAATTACTGCTGTGCTACAAGGAACCTTTGCAAACATTCGGCTGGTCAACAAGCTGGCTTCGTCTGCGGGGCCAATCACTAAACACATCCCGTCTGGAAGGGAAATGCCAGTCTACGACGCAGCAGAGGTGCGTTAACCAAATCAGGTAGAAATTGTTTCGAGACAGGAGCCTTGACGGCTACTTCGGTATGCACCAGTGTTTATGAAGTTTCTGTGGACTGCTGTCTTCCTCAGTTGTACAGAGAATCTCATACTCCTCTGATTATTATCGCAGGTTAGTTGTGCGGCATTAAACTACAGTTTCTGTAGCCTGTTTCCGTAGTTCACGCTCATACTGCCGCTCGTATTGCAGAGTTGGCTGTGCCGCATCCTTTTAAATCAGAGCAGCCCATCAAAATTCGTGTCGACCTTATAGCTTACAAGCTAAAATACATGTGCGAATCAGGAAAAGAGTACGGCTGTGGAAGCAGCAGGGACTGGGCAGCGAAGGGCGTGGCCCTACTAGGCGTGAAGGCAGTAATTGCAGAGAGCTACGAACGGATTCACAGATCCAACTTAGTTGGAATGGGGGTGCTTCCACTCCAGTTTTTAGAAGGAGAGTCTGCATGTTCACTCGGAATTACAGGTACTGCGTGGAGGTGCATTCACCATGCAGAGAGACTCGGATGATACCCAATGATTACAATGCACTGCGGGGATGCAGCCAGCCTCCCCGGCCCGTAGATGCGTATGCTTCAGGAATGGAAGAGTTTTCTATCGACCTGACAATTGTGGGAGTAAACGCAACAGTTCCGGTGCAGCTGGGTGATGGTCGCCAGTTCACCGCTAAATGCCGCCTGCAGACAAAGGTGAGACATACAGTGCACCCTTTGGATGCATATGTTCTTGACAGGAAATTCTTGTGGGGTTTGGCCATTCTCAGAAGTTCAAAGCGGTTTTGTTGTCTTTCTAGGTAGAGCTGGAATACTTCAGAAACGGAGGAATCCTGCAGTATGTTATACGAAAGGCAGCCGCCGAGTCATCCGTCTAGGTTGCACTACTGCAATACAGCCAATCCACTGATGCAGTAGAGATCGAGATCTACGCAAGAATACAGTTGGACTTGCGTATGTTGATTTCATCATGCTCAAAGGCTATCGGATGGATGCCCACGGGGACCACTATACACAACACGCTGGCTTTCCCCCACATGGGGCATTTGCTTGACCGATGCGTCTCTTGGCGACTTGCACTCTCTGTGCGCTGTCGGCGGAGATTCATTCGACGCCTGGCGGTAGAAAGCGATCGCCATTTGCCAGTTTGCAGAAGGGTCCGCTGCAATCGTTTGCTTGTACCTCAGCTGCAGCGACGTGATACTCAAATTTCAAAAGTGCCTACAACTGAACATTAGAACATTTCACTTCCTGTGGGTTCCCACACCACATCCAGGGAGAGGCGTATACTAGCAATTGAGCTTTAGAGGTTCCTGTGGCAACGTCAATCCAAGCAACATACGTAATGGGAAGCAATGCCCGGTCTTCTTTAGCACTCTTAGGGACCGAGGGGTGGCGTTGCTTTGCCATGCATATGCCACGGCGCGGTGGCAAGCTCACTGCGCTATTCGAGAGAAGTGCTGCAACCTAACGTTGGAGAGCCTGGGACCCTGGACCAGTTGAACTGGTTCTTTACTGCAGATTACTGCCCAGATATTAATGCTAAAGAGCTAAAGTGCTTGCCATCCACAGCCAATTCCGCGTACCTCAAATGCTTCCTTCGCACCGCCTTGTGGCCTTCAAGCAGATGCTGTATACTGTGCAGACGCATGCACATCGCTTGGGCTTACGCCGTATGCTTGCTGGGTATACACCGGCAAGGCAGGTTGGCACATTAACGGGAAAGCGTCTGTAGAAACAGTCTGCAGGTGATGGAGAATCGTCGAGAACGCGGGAGACTCGCATGCATGAATGTAAGAATTCAGTCATCACCAAGAACACTATGCGTCGGAAGCCGTGCAGATTCGTTCACTTTGTCATCGGGAATATGTGAGTCAGGCGCCTTGTCAGCGGACGGCTTCGCCTAGACGGAATTACTTAGCATTCTTACGCGATACTGCACGTTGCTGGCAGGGCCAGGACGACTGTGCACCGGTGCGCTATGTTTTCTCATTATTTACTCACTTACTCTACTGTGGGATCACTGGAGACCGCGCCTTGCTGTGGATTCAGCTCCTCAGTACAAAAACAATGCCGCGTGGCCAGCCACGTGTCTAGGGCATGGAAGGGCATGCCGGATCTCTATTGTGGAGAATAGCATAATTAGATTCCTGTACAGAGAAAGTTTTAACTTCGTCTGTTATCAGACATGATTGCCCTCCATGAACATCCTGCTGATGACGAAAACTTCGTCTCGGCCAGGGACTCTGTCGGCCCCGAGCACCACCTGCTCCCATGGCTGGCACCTACATTGCAGACTATTCAGTAACTACTGTGTAGGAAGTGTATTTATTAAACTAATTTTGCTCGAAACTCGGCTTATATTTCTTCATTGATATGGATGCCTGATGAACTACCAGCTGATTGCATGGTGTGCCTCATTGAGGCAAACGCAACAGATCCTGGGCCTGCCATAATGAACATACACTTTTGCGTAGACCCGGCAAATGTTACTTTGACTTGAGTGACTTGGTGTAGTAATGTTTTGCTAAACGGCTCCCGTCCGTTTTGTGTGTGTGCTGATGCTTCCTGGCAGGGGGCTCAATGGTCACACTCCGGTGCTTACGAGGCACCTACCTTTCAAAGCAAGCCCCTCTGTTGAGGAAACTTCATCCCAAGCAGAAGTCGACGAAGATCTCCCCAGTCGGGTGGCTTCGAAGGGAGCACGAGCGTAACGTCTGTGAACACTGCAATTCGTATGGCCTTCCAGCTACACATATATAGGATTACGCCTATGGATCTACCCCCTGCAGGGCTATTCCGGATCGGCTGAGCATGCAGATGCGCTTCTTTCTTCTAGCCCTACTGGGTCAGGTGCCGCGTGGTCGGGTGGCGCCGTAGAAGTATCCAGTGTACACTACCTCGCTGTGCATCTCTCCCTTTCGCGAAGGAAGATGACTCGGCCGAAGCATCTCCCCTCCAAGATGCTGCAACTGCTCATTGTGGCAGCGCTTACACTGGTTATTTATTGCCATGCCGATTCGCCAGGTACACCCCCTTGGTTGTCGTGGTGACGTACGGAGAATCTACGCAAGCTTTTTGATCACCACACTGCTCTCCCCTGCTTAGTACACTATGTGGGAAGGTCCAGCGCACTGGGTTGAATCTTATTATTCACATACAGATATTTGTTTCTGTGCCAGCTACTGCATCATCAGCTCCCATCGGATGTCGGGGCTTTTCCAAAATTGCTGTGTGCGCGTACAGATTTCGTGACGGGAAAGATATACCTCAAAGGCGATGGCGCCTGGGAAAGATTTGAATTCCCAAATCCACTGGAAAAGCCTCTTGTCTTCTTGGGCTCACCTGACTACATTGGCGACTACCCGATAGAGCCACAGGTGAGGTCTCAGGTTTAACTGAATTGGGGAGGAAACATTGCCCCAAAAAATTTCGTACGCAGGTGCAACTACTGTCTCAACATTCAGGTAGGAGAGGTGGACGCGAATGGATTTACGGCCCGCGTGATGGTGCCATCGTGCATAACGGCGGACCTCTCAAGGACTTGGATTGGTTTACCTTACATTGCTTGGCGCAAAACGGCTGGACGGGACTACGTAGCGGATTATGTTCAGTTGAACAGTTACTCAAGCATTTCTCCTGGGGCTGTCCAAACATACTCCTATTATGTTCACGACTGGGACCGTATAAGCGTATGGAATCACTGTTTTAGGCAATAAGCTGACTAGCGCACTGAGACACAGTTGTGCCACTTATATGACAACTAGCGAAAGCTATCCGATATATTGAGGCCGCCCTCCGCTGGCGCGACTTCGCAACCATTCAGTCTTGACGCCGCCCTTATTTCTCTGGTGTTTTTGCTTCTGTTTCGTAGTCAAACTATGTTGTCCTCGCACAGATCCAGAACATGGCATATATTGAAGAAAAGGCGGCTGCGTTGAACATGACGGTAAACGTTTACGTTAGGGGCTCCATCTCCTCTCGAAGAAAAAGATATACTATTACGCTAACCACGTCCACCACGAATAACCTGCCCACCGTCGGTGTAGCAATCATGGGTCTTGGTGCCTCCGTCCCTACCCATTTTGGCGGAGTGGACATTGAAGTAAGGCGCTCAATCGATGTAATGCCACCTAGGTACAACGTTCTACTAAGCCATGGGCGATTCACAACTGTCTAGGCGCCCTAATCCTGTGGGGAAATCGTATGCGTGTTCCTTGACCGCAGCTTAGGCCGTCAACGCTGATCACATCGGGCAATGGGTTTTCGCATTCCCTTGGCTCTCCCGTCCTAGCATTTATCCTTCCATCTTCTGTGTCAGCTTCACACAGCTACGCCGTCGATTCCAATTCTAACACAAGTTGCGTGCTTCGAATTATAAGCGATTGCCGGACAGGCGCAAAGCTGAACGACGCTGCTTCTTCTTACTTACTCATTGCACACGGTCAGCAAAGCTCGTCGCTCCGATTTTCATGCACTCGTTTGGTAGCCGAAGAGTAACTGTAGCTATGCTAGAAAACACAATTACGTTGGAAACATATCTATTGCTGAGGGAAGCTCTAAGGTTGGTATATGTCTATGTTTATATATATATATATATATATATAGACATACAGATGTATTTATACACATATATGTGTATATATCTTATGCTTGCTGGCGAGTGAAGCATGCAATTGTGATGATTATGCAGCGCAAGAATCAAGTAAACATGAAAACATGGGCCCAAACTGCTGGAACGCACAGTCTGTTTCTTCAGACCTGCTGCCAATTTGTGAACTTACATGCGGGACGATGTGGTCCCAGCACAAGGAAAAATACATGAAGTGCCCCAATCCAATGGAATGCTTCAACACTGACTTCTCGACAGCGTCAGCGATAGTGGAGGCGTGGGGAGATCTATTCGATGATCGTTTGGCTGGAGAGTTATCTACCAGCTGTTCTTTTGGTAATTCCTTTAATGCTTATTTAGCCCGTTGGGCTTTTAGGCTGAGCCGCTGCATCAACTCCCAACGGCTTGGCTGGACTTGGAAAATGACCGTGAGCTCCACCCTTTGAACTCTAAGCCATTTTGCATGCTTGTCTATGCTTGTGCCACTTTCCTGCTCAGCGTCAAGACCTCCTTCTTCACCAGAAGAACAATACAGTGAGCACATATAGGCTGTCTAGAAACACGGTTCGACCGCTTCGATAGACGAAATTGAGTGAGAAATCTAATCACTCGCTGCAGTTTACGGAGCTCTAAGGTGTTTCTGCCCTGGTTCACAGCCTTTGAGCAACTTATTACGTGGAGTGACACAGCAAGCGGCAGCACGTGGAATACGGAGGTGGCATGCGGCAAAGATGCTGTCCAGCTCGTTCAAGTGCTCTTCAGCGATGAGTTTGTCCTGAACGGGAAGCTACCTGAAACGCCGTCATGCGGAATTCAAGACATCACAGGTTTAATGGACAACTTCTGCCAAGGACAAGCGTCTTCCGATTCAGCGGCGTGCAATGTAACGGAGGACGCATTCATGGCTGCTGCTCTGGTCACCCTATGCGGAGCAGCTCTAAACCCCTCCATGCTGATGCGTTTTAACTGCGGTTCAGGTGAGTTCCATCCGACGTGTTGTGTTCTTAAAGCATACCGAGACTCTTGGTGCATTGTTCTTGAGTCAGTTTCTGGATATTTGTGCGCATTTGTGCTGATATTCAGCATCTGGCAAGCCATCGTGCCTAGCTGCACACCCTTTGCGAAGTTTTTACAACCACACAGGTAACATGGCTCTGCGCTTTTTCGAAGAGCTATCTATTACCTAACCCTCCCCCCCGTGCATCAAAAGTCTCTGCTGCGCAGAAGGCTTGACTGAATGTGTTGCAGTTGCATGAACATGCGCTATTTGGGGAACAGACGCATCGAAATGCTGTAAGAAGCTGCTAACTGCGCTAGCTTGATCTCCTATGCAGGTATATGCAGCTGCCCGAATGGCAGGTCAACATGCAGCGTTCATCAGGCGTTCAGTAATGCAGGCTGGAGGACTTCCGTGCCTGAAGGCCTAACAATTGTAATTGCTGAGGGAATAGCGTACGTACAGACAATACAACTGCCTTTTCTGGACCAGTGGCTTGCTGTGTGTCGTCTTCCTTGGACTGTCCTGCTGGTAAACTGCTCCAAATTTGCGAGCCTGGAACCCACAACTCCGCTAAGCTTTGAACTAACTATACGCGAGATGATTTGTGAGCAGGTTCAAGACTACACAGAAGCAGTTCTCACTGCTTGCGGATGCTGCAATTGATTGCTATTCAGACGACCTATACATCCTCTGCGAAGGCACGTTGTATGAGCTACTAATGACAACAGTTGGCCTGTGAAATCAAAAGGGAGTGGTTATTTTGCGGGGGTTTCGAGAAATGACGGAGATATTTAATTTGCCAACCAGCGCTTGACTAGAGGGTGGCCCCTACGTGTATGCAGCCCTTAACAAGCAGTAGCGCGTTCTGAAGATAGACACCCGTTCCGGTAACTTTCTCCCTCAAAAGGTGTCCGTCTATGTGTCTGCAGAGGAGACAAGAACTGTCAATGATGGCGGCCCCCAATGCACTAATCTCTCTGACCAGACGGTGGATACTCTAGAAGAGGCCGTTTGCAGGAATCTGTGCCTCGATTTATGGGATATGTTTAAGGATCAAGCTATTGCAAACCCGTCTCCATATGATGAATTTGTGTTATTGATGAGGCAGTGGCATGCTGATAACCCTTGGGCTCTTACTTCGACCCTTAGCGAAATCGCCATTAACTGCACATACGGTACGGCTCAGTGATTGCAGGCAGAGGGACACACCGGTTCATGCCAAAACATGCAGTTATGAAATAACTAGTGAACGGAACGCATTGTATTGCGCTCAGACAAGCGTCCATACTTCTCTCCGATCCCACAATATGGTGAGCAGCTGCAACTACATATCCCTCTCATCCTCGCTCGAGGGGGCTGGTGAATTGTCACCCAGAGTGCATGCGCTGTACCTGTTGCTTGTGCTGTTTCTTGAAGACCGTCGGGCCGTTTTCGGCTCCACGGACGGAAGCTTTGTCGTGCGCGACCTATGCCCTGATTCACGCTTCGCTGACATTGTTGGCGCCTCATATGGTTGCAACTCGGTACGATGCCTTATGCTGGAAACTTTAAGGGAATCCGTATGGATATGCGTATTGGCTACTGCATCACTGTAGGATCGCTTGTGGGTAGGGGAAGCGTCGCGAAGTCCTTGAAAAAAGCAGGGCCAGGCGAATGCTCCTGTATACAACATGGACCACTTTGGGACTGCCAACTAGGAAACGGTCCTACGGGATTACTACTAGCATCTAGATATACTAGTGAATTGTCACATGCTTTTGCTAGTGTGTAGTAAAAATCCATCAGCAGCTAGAGAATTTGGAGGGCTTAGCCTTGTGTGGTTGCATGCGTTCATTATCACATTAGCCTCTCTGCGGCTAGCTGCTCCTTCCAGTCGGCCTGCAAAGCGGAGTGCTCACCCGGGAGGGAGCCTGCGTAACGGCCGTTTGTTTGCTGCAATGTGTATCAGGTGATTGTCGACGGGGAACTGAAGTCAGCCTGCCAAGTGCATGATGCCACCAGCGTTGTACAGCAAGCATGTACTTCTCGCACCTTGACGGAATGCACCGTCTTCGGGAACCAGTTTCCTCCTACGTTGGAGTTGTGTCCATCATGCGACGCATTCAGTCTTGTTGTATTTTACAACTGCAAGTTGAGTGAGTTAGCCTGCTTGAATCGGTGGTATCTGTCCCAGAAACAGTGCTCCCAGGAGGCCATTACCTTACTTTTTCAAATAGCTCAAACTGGCCGCCGAGCGCCCTGATGCCCAAAAGGCATGCAGGCACTGCTGACGTGCGTACTTTGTGAGCTTGCAGGACTAGAGTCATTGGGCGGGTATGGTATTATTCCCCACGCGTTATCTGGAAACATTGTTTATTCTGGAAACATACCTTCTTGCTCCTGCGCGGAGGGCTCTGTCCCAGCAACACAGGAGGAGATTACTGTAAGGAGTATGCTGAATCATCCGCGAATGCATGCCTGAGATTTACCGCAAATCCCTGTTTTAGTTTGGCCGCTCTGATTTGCGTAGGCATTAACATCTTGGCAAGCATTGATTACACCGCCCGAAAGTTTCGTCCTGAGCGGCGCTCGTGGTGTATCTGTTGATGAAGATGGCGAGTTAACATTTACAATTTGGGCACCCTCCTCCGAGTACGACTGCTTAAGTGAATTCGTCAAGATCCTTTGCAAGCGTAAGGCTGAATTTCAGTCGGAGCACGCTCTGGCTGTCCGCACTGCGACAAGCTAGTGGCGGCGTACCTGTGGAGTGGGAGTGGGCTGCCGAGTCGGAAAGAATGCACGCCCTGTGTGTTCTGCATAGACCCTGTGGAGCAAGACCCGGATGAAGGCATGATGAACCCAAGTGAGTTTTACAAGAGTAACGCTTGAACCCTGCGCTGTGGCGTCTCAGCAATAGATAAGCCAGGAAAAATTGTGTCCCGCGGGGCCCGTGCAACCGTATGCCTGAATGGAGTTAAGTTCTGAAGTGCATTGAAGGACAGTGGGATGTGGCTTTGTACCCGTCCTTTCCAGCGATTCTGAAATGCTTGGGCTTGTTGCTTATTTTTTTGGGTTATGTGTTGGTGAGCGTGCAGCACCCCTCTGCGAAGAGTCATTTTCTACGAAACCTGGAAAACGTTCTTCCCACGATGAACTCTGCAGAGAAACGTGCTCGCACGTACTCAAGGTAGGTCTACGACGTTCTTATTTGCAATAGGAAGCGTGGCGGGCAAACAGGTCCGGTAAAGGGGGCTGCGAAGAGCAAGTTTGACATTTCACAAGTTGGCAGCAAGGAACTTTACTTAAGCAACTGACATGAATTATTTTTACCCCATGCAAAAGTAAATCATGTCACTTTGAATCATTGCAGATGCTCTCGTGTGCTCCATATGAATGATCTGCTGGCAGAATAAGTGTTCGTCCAGTGCGAATAAGTGGGCCTGCATCAATGATAATATAACGGACTGCTACGTGCCAAACAGCCTGCGTAAAACCTGTGGAATACGGGGGATATCTCCGCAATACAATGATAAATATAGAACATGTGGATGCGATGACCCAACGATGGAGCCATGCACTGAAAGTGAGGTCAAAATGCTCGCTCACGACTGGATGGGATATTTCAAAGACCACTACCAAGGAAAAGGCGGACTCATCTTGTTGCGGAACATGGGAGTTATGGAGGACTCGGGAACTATTTATACAGACTTTGGAGTTGCAACTGGATGTACAAGATCGTCGGAGTACAAGGGGATTTTTTGCCGAGGTGAGCACACGCCACTGGCAGTGTCGCTTGTCGTGTTCTAGTTTCTGCCCTGAGAGAGACTGAAGTTATATCAGACCCACCTTCATCAGAGACGTTTATTTGAAACAATGGGTACTTGTGTGCTGCGCTGTGCTCTCCTGCAGTTGACGCTACCGTCACTTCCTCAACGCCCACAGGTGAACGGCAACTGCGCGACCCGTAGCAGGATTTTTTTTGAACCTTGTCAACGTTGGGAGCGTTGTGGTGGTTGAACCCACCACCACAACAATTCCAGCGCCTTACTCTTTAATTACCTCTCTGGACCAATCTGATTCTGCTTTGCTATCGTAGCGTGCGTACGGCGTCACAGGCCTGCAGCCAAGCTGTGATGGAACAATCTCTCTCAACAAGAACGATGTATCCGATTACCAGTGTGCATACTGGTGCCACGAAGTCCACTCCACTTGCAAAGAAACTCAGCCTTCGAATGCTTCAGCATGTCTTTATGAGACGCAGAAGACCCATTCGATACTGAAGCAGTGCAGTGTCCCATCAGGTAAGGGCATGACTGACCACATACGGCCACTGCTTTTTTTTACGCTTAAAGAGCACTCCAAACTGGACTCTCTAACGAAAAACACACTCTGGTATACCTAGTGCATTTTGTCTGTGTGGTGCTTTCCTGCAGAACTAGAGGATAAAGAACAACAGGGTGAGCGCAGTTGTGAAGCCATATTCGACACTGCATCTGTTTTGGAAGAATGCCTTGATGGGACGTGCAGGCAAATCCAATATGCCACATAATTGCTCAATACTCTCGTCGATGAGAAGCTTTTCGGGGGTGCTGCTGTGAAGCTAGGTTTAGCGTGTTTCTTCTCGGAATTTTTTGCAGACTCCAACATGGTGGCCGGTACCGCTATTGTAACGACCGAGTGGAAAGCTGTGGACTTTGAATCTCCTGTTTCGCCAAATCCAGTGGTATTCATAGGTACATTCTTCAAGTATATTAGCAAGGCTTAAGAGCAGGACCCTCAGTTTCTCTGGACTTCTGTACTGGAGTGGGAACGGGAACCCATTACCAACTGGTCTGGCGCTTAGGGTAAAGAAGTGTTGTTGCTTTCTTTGTCTGCAGGTCTTCTCGATCCGCTTGGAACATTTGGTCAGGTACAAATAACAGCAGTATCGGAAACTGGGTTTTACATCCGCCTAGCTGAGGACCACTGTAGAATTGGTGAGCGCTGCAGCTGCAGGGTTACAGTCACGTGAGCGCATTCAGTACGAAGCTTGCGCTTGCCAGTCAGAGCCCGTGTTGTGGCTTTACTGCTCTGGAACCATTCAGGCTATGCACCTGCCTACGCTCAAGTGAGCTGGATGGCCATTTCCGAGGACAGCTTCACCATGCCAACCTCTGGTACATTGATTCGAGCTGCCACTGTTGATGCTACTGTTGGGGAGGAAATAGACCTGCTTCCTGGCCTTAAGTTGCGCACTTCCTCGGTAGGCAAAGCGCTCTTAGGCTAGTCACCAAGGGACGCGACAATGTCTGAGCTATAAGAAACACGCCACTGGCCACCATACGCACATTGCACAACTGTGTTGCCCTCGCCTTTTTTCTGCAATTTGCGTGCGACATTGGAGCAGCCAATTGTTCTGGCACAAATTCAAAACATCCCAGCGAATCTCCCTATGACGGAAATCCCTTCCATTAAAGTCTTAAAAGTCAGCACCTCGTCAGCCACCATCATCATCGAGAGTACCTCCACACCAACGGATGAGGTGAAATACAAAGTCGGCTATCTATATATGGACGCCGTCTCGGATTCTCAGTGTTCTATTGGCTGCAAAACGAACAATTTGACCTTGGAGGTGGGGACCACGCGCTTTGAGCATGACTACACAGTACTGGGTGAACATTCCCAGTGATTCGGAAGCACGACTAAGTCCTGATGGAGGGCAGTTTCTTGAGTCCTTTGCAGCCCGAAGATGTTTAACTTTAATTTTCCTTTCATGCTTGGTCTTGCACCCTCCACGCAGACAAAGTTAATGGATCCCAAGTCCGGATGGTCTAACACCATCACGTACTCTACGGAGGTCTTCGGCAATCGACCTCCCTTGATCTTTGGCTCCGTGGTGGTGAGGGTAGGTGGCAAGACAAAGATGCTAGTAAAAGACCAACTGGAAATTGCCTCGCCCACTGCCAGGTGGAGTCCCAAGCTATATGTGATTTCTCAAGAATCTTGCGAGGATTTCGTCTTTGAAGAAGTCTCCGTTTTATTCGCTACCGTATTACTTATGGTTCTTCACATCAAAGACCGTAAGCGACCGACTAAAGGGGCATTGTTCTATGTTCTACAAGCCATCACGTTTGTATAATTCGCCTGAAAACAAATCTAGGGAAGGGTTCATTTGATGTTTTGCTATGCGTGCCCCATCCGCTTCGACTCAGCATCCTCGGGGACCTCTGACGCAACCATTCCAGGTATCTAAGATATGTCCGCCTGCCCCTGAAGAGCACAACCTTGCGCTTGCGGTGGTTCTTTCTGTTAAAATTCTATAGCGGGCACGGCAGTAGAGTTGCTCGACGGACGTGTTGACGTTTTGCGCGCTCTGCAGATTTCACGCCCAACTGCGCCAAAGCCAAGTCTAAAGGTGTAGGTTTGCGTGGTCGGCAGTGGCACAAGGAAACTGACACATTGTGCCATTTATTGTGCTAGCATATGGAGGTGTAACGGATCGATGAGCGACAAATTGGAACTCTGTAGACGTGCAGAGGCCTCTTCCCTAGCTTCATAACTTGCAGTGCCGCAGCGAAAGACGGGACGTTCTTGCTTTCCTCCGCGCTTGGTACGGTGCGCAGGGGTCGGCTACTGATGCAGACTGTGTTGCAGAGTGCACAGCAATATCTGAAAAATGCTCACCTCCACTGGCTTGGGAATGCTTCATAGCCAGCGCCTCGCAAGAGCTGCAAGCGAAGTGCTACATCGAGCCCGGTAAGTTACTCTAAGGAGAGCTACCAGGTGAACATTCTCCCTAATTTGTGAGGGCACTAGAACAGAAAGCTGGGAAACTTTTATCGCTCAATCCGTGTAGAAAAACAGTGGCAGGATCAGCCGCTGCTTGCCACATATTCTCAAAGGAGGTTGGACTGTTTGCATCGCAGCTGTTGATACGGCACAAACAACGACAACGACTCCCCCTCCAGTTGGCGGTAGGGATTTACACCGATTGTATTTTTCGCATCTGATTTCTCCCATTCTTTTTAGTTTTGGCGAAGTAAATGAGATGACAATGGTTATATTGCAAAAGTATCTTTCGTATGTTTCGCCTGCGCAGCAAGCGTCCAGTGTAGGGTTGTCGACATGTCCAGCCGCCTAGATATAGGGTGGGACGTTGAGGCCATGAGCTGCTCATGTCCCCAAGGCTTTAGCCCGTGTACGCATCATCAAGTTGAACAGGACCGGGCCCACTGGATTCAAGATATTTCCCCTTGGGGTCAGCTGTAGAACGCTTCGCAGGCCCAGCAGCATTTGTTCATGCAGTATGCACACAATGCGTCGAAAAATGTGCAGTGGGTTTCTTCAGAATGAAAGAAGCGCATATTAACTGAAGCCATGGCTCCATGCGGCCTGCCCAGCCAAAGGCCAAATGCGGAATATATGGTGCGTGCTCGTTTCTTGCAGGCAACATATGCCGCATGTGGGAATCCGTGCAGCCAGTTGCTCGGGGATTTATGCAAGTGGCTAGTGATCTGTGCACTGCGTCTTCAAACCTTGGGTGGCAACAAAGGGAACTGCCGCTTTACTCCCTAGATGATGTCTATCTCAACGGGCGAATCAACAAAAGCGGTTACAACCAATGCGTAGTCGACACTCCGTTGGTGTTTTGCCCATGTAAGTCCTGTTCGTGGAACTGTTGCCCAGAGAATGGGGACTATCAACATGCTGTGTGCCATTCTTAACATGGCGCGTTGGTCCTGCTTAGCATTAGACCGCCACAACTTTGGGGTGTCTGACGTTGGGGTGCCGCGATGCACGTGCGCAGCTGCTTCATTGACTACCACCACGAGCACGACTGCACCGACTTGGGACTGGCCTAAAAATGCAGATTGTTTACCGGGCGACTGGTCTGAGTGGTCAGATTGCTCCGCAACCTGCACACCACCTAAGTAAGCTCATATCGGCGTGGGTGGCTTGCAAGGCCCGACACGTGGAAAAGGAGTGGAATGCATACAGGCAATCGTCAACTCATATCCAGGAAGGTAGCTGGAAGCATGGGCACACCATTCTTCTGGTCATGGTTGCGTTATTGCGTGCCAGTCTCCAGGGACCAACTCCGGTGCGGAGGCGCCGGCGGCCTCAGTTGTTGCCTTCCAGGGGCAATGGAGCCCCGTGTATACTAGAGGAGACCGTGCCTTGCGTGTTTGACACGTCTATTCCTTGCGATTCACTGTGTCGTCACTCCGAATGGACTGAGTGGTCCAGCTGCTCGGAGAAGCTCCTCGAGTTCGGCTTCTCTCCCGTCACAACGTCCTATAGGGAGAAGCTAGTATCTGCAGAAGCAGGGGAGGCTTGCTCAGCGCTCGATTTGAAGGAATACGATGCTTCGCGGTGCAACGGTGAATCGCTACTGTTGGCAGAAGCTCAGGTTTAGTTGGCTAGCTACAACAACTTCACTGAGCTATTAGTAGGCAATGGCAGTGCGCCACCGCTTGTTTCCACTGAGTGTACTAGTTATAGCATACTGAGGCTGAACGTAAAGACGACAGTGAATAGATTCCATGATGAGCAGGGAGCATGAGCGTATACGACTACGGGCATTGGTTGCAGGGCAAGGAGACAATGACTCGAAAACGCAACTGCAGCCTAGCGCTCTGCAGATGAGCAGCACCAAAGATGCCGTGGTTCAAAGTGAGAAGTGGTCAGAGTGGTCATCTTGCGACGCACCGTAAGGTCTACATAAGCAGCGCAGCAGCAAGATTTGCCAGACCCTGTACGCATTTGCCCTATAATTTTATTTCCATTGTTTCCGTCTCCTGAGTATTGTTTGGCCGTCCGCTTCAGGTGCCTGTTAAATGGCCAGAGTGCCAAACGATACAAATTAAGCATAAGGCAGAACTCGAGTGCAGAAGATGCGCCTGTGTACCATAGTAAGCACTGGCCTTGACCCTGCAGACCCTAACCAAATGTCTTACGCTACCCATTTGTGGCGAGTGTGGGGCATTTGGTGCAATAATTTCTACATCTTGCGCATACGTCAAAATGGCTGCTTGCAGGCACACAAATTGAAGATTGCCCAAACTCTCTGGGGCCTTGCAGAAACGACCGAGAACCTAGTACGTCGGCTATCAGCTGTTTTAGAGAGCATTTTACCAGTATTTGTTGAATCATCTGAACATCCTCTTACTACTGCGGTTGCATCGATGTTGGGTGACGCAGGTTGCGACGACCTCGTGCCTGTACATGACATTTTGGAAGAGAGGCAATTCTGCAAGGAGCAATGCCAAAAGATTATTGATTTATGCTCAAAAGAAGCCATGCTCAAAGGGAAAACGCCTCTTCAGTGTTTTGCTGACTACGTTACTGAGAACCAACCAGTTGGTGGCAAATGCACGTACACGCAAAAGCTTGTCAAAGGTATGCCTGATGGACATCAGCTCATGTAGGTGATGAGCAGTGCCAATTGATAATTGTCTTGTGTCTCCAGTTCAAAATATTCTGTGTTAAGTTCCGTCGGCTTTTCAGAAACAACGACTCCAACTTGTTTCCCAAGTTTTTCTCGGATGAATGATGACGAGACTTCACAGTTCCGGTTTCTAGACCCAAACAGCCCCTCCCCGCAGTGCTTGTGCCTCACTCCGGATTCCGTCCCGTGCACTGCCACAGAGGTTTTCGAGTCGCGTCACATTTCCCTGGCTGCAGTGCCATCTTGTCCTCACCAGAACACGGCCGGAGCATTGTTTGGCGACGGCACACCTGGAACCGCTGATTCAAAGCTGTTCTTTGCTGCAGCAGACTCAGCCAAGATATTTTGTCCCCTTAGCAACAGCAAGAACTTTCAGCAGCAAGAAGATGCTGCCACATATACCGTCTTTCAAACTGCAGCAGAGATGAATGAGTACTGCGCGAATGGGCTCGAGGAACAGCATGATCTATCTGCGAGCACGCCATGTATGTTCACCCTGCCGTTCTTCACAAACTCTGAACGGATCCAAAACCGTGCGAGCTTTTTATACAAGCCTTTGGGTTCTCTTTACTCAAAACGGATTTGTCGGACCACGACCGCTTGTGCCTGCAGACGACGTCTACCTCGATTGCTCAATGCTAGTACCCAGAATTGACAGTGTAAGCGCTGAGGAGTGCGAGAGCAAGTGCCGTGAGATTAAGGAGGACTGCGCAGACAGTACTTTTGACTACTTGTCATGCATCGCTACGAGGCGCGAGACCACGGGTTTCAATGCGCAGTGCTCCAGTAAGGGCACAGCCTTCGCCGGCAGAGGAGTAGTTTTCTGCAAGATTGTGCCGAAGAACTGTACTTACTCGGAGTGGGGAGAGTGGTCAGCGTGCAGCGCAACTTGCCGCAGTGGCGTGGGAGGAGTGGAGGCAAGCGTCAGAATACGCACAAGACAGATTTTGGAACCAAGCACAACGGGAGGCGAGCTGTGCAGAATTGGGGGCACGACAAGTACGACTTTTGAACATCTAGATAGGTTCATGGCCCATCAGTAGGATTGGCAGATTCAGTGCAACTGATGGCGCCGACAAACGCCAGTGCCTGTTGCGCGTTGCTCTCCGGCAGGTGGAGACAAAGGCGATGAGGGAGGGACTGTGCAGACAGAGCCCTGTAGTTTCCAAGAGATCTGCGGTACGTTTTGCACTTCACTGCACAAACCTGTGGCGCTTGCATTCACTAGCATTAAGTCGGAACGATTAAGGAGCCAACACATAAATATCCCGGTGCTGTCAACAAGATCGCCAAGGAAAAATGTGTCGTGCTTCCCCTGCCTCAATGCGCCCGATTGTATCATCCAGATAAGTCAGATGCAACGGTTAATCTCCTCATAACACCCAAGCCGGAGCCTTCCCATGCAACCTGGAGTCCCGACAGTGTTGACAGCACCACCACGACACAAAAACCCACTCAAGTGGACACAGACGTCGCATGCGGAATCTACAGTATGGCTGGGGTCACATTGACATCGCGCTTTGATCCAACTGTGAGAATTTTAGTGCTCGCTGGAGAGTCGAAAATTCCGCGCTTCCAGAGCAAGCTTTTCGAACAAGAGAGTGCAAAATTTTCATCGGACAGCACTAGACGGGTCACCACGGCGTCCGATTGCGACCTTCCCACATATTGCTCCTTGCCCACATTGTTTGCAGCACAGGACTTGCAGATGCCCTTCATACACCAGACCATGCACGCTTGCGGAGGCAGAAGCATCACGCTCGTTGTGGAATCAGAGTATGATGGCTCTTTGCCAAGAAGATAGCGTCGGTAAGTGCTTCAAACAGGAACTATGTGACTATTGGAATCCTATGTAGGAAGCAGATACGCTACGCTAGACCGAGGCGGCACTCTGGACTCAGGCGTTCTTAAGAGGTCATATGCAACGCATGTCCATTTTGTCTCAGCTGTAATTCCACTGAGCGACTTTGGGCTTTTCGATTGCGAGACGCGTACGTTTAAGGAGAGCGTCGTTGACTTCAACGATCTTACTGCAGAGGACCAGTGCTCGACAGATCAGTTTTCCTCGGTTTTCTGCGTGGGTAGGTTGGTACTGAAACTTGAGCCTTGCAATAAATTCATTCTAGAGCGACGAGTCGCCATCCAAATTTTTGTGTAGGGCTTTGTGGATCGAGGGCAAATATGGCTGTGTGCGTATGCGCTCATTCTTCAGTGGCAGATGACGTTGAAACGGAGCGGCGTCATATGATGATTACGATGTTAATTATGCTGCTTGGTGGGACATTTCTTGGCATCGCCTTCGTGCTTTGGTTCATCCAGCACAGCGTCGACGTGCAAAAGGTACTGGGTCTACGGGGTCGATATGTCGAGCTGGTGAACATGGTCAAGGAGTAGCCGCCATAGTCGTCCAAGATCGGGGGAAAAGTCAATTCATATTACAACCCCCCCATTGGCAGAGCCTGTATGGTGCTGAACAAGCGAGACTGAGGTGATCTACAACGATGCAGCAGTTTACGATGAATGGGCATCACACAATAACCTCCCCATAGGGCAGAAAAATCTGCCACTTCGAAAAGGCCAGGAGATGCCAAAGGATCAGGCAGAGTCGAGGGCCTGGAGAACGGCTAGGGCGATGACGCCCATCGTATGGCATGCCGTTTGACGTCGCAGGCTGCCTTCCTTTTGGCCTACCACTCCACCTGTTTAAGATTCCTCTAGGCAAATAAGCTGAGTTTGTTTCACCTCCGACTTCCTGAAAGAATTCTGTGTCAAAGGAGGCGAAGTTGTACCAGTTCGACTAGGCAGCCATCTGGATCGGTCCTTTGGAAATCCCAATCGATAAATCACAATGTGTTGCGCGACTAGGAAGCATGAGTGCACGGCAGGGCCACATATTGCGTGCGCGTTGGCGCGGGTTTCGTTGCTGATGAGGACAACCACTACGCTTACGTACGAAGTCAGCATCGACACCTACTCCAACACCAACATTGCTAATTTTAGAAAGTATTGCACGAAAATGAGAAAAGTCCCACAGATAACCGGACACTCCCCGCCACTACGATGGGGGTTGGGTTGCAGTGGCATCCACAGCAAGGAACGACTATTTCCATGGCCTAGTCTGCTTAGCTGTGTTTGCTGTCTAGATATTTTAGCTGTTCTGTTCGAGGTCACTGTTGTATGCAACCCCACAACACAGCAGAGTGGTGAGTGGTCCGGGGTCCGCCAAGCTGAGGCAGTTACACCTAGGGTGCGGTGCTAATTCTGCGCCCTACCCCGTTGACATCGATAAACTCAAAACTCTGACAAGTTCTCAAATCCTAAAAAAGAAGGAAGCCGACGCTTAACGTGTGTTCCCTTCTGTCTAGTAGGGCTGGTCGGGCGAACATGACCAACGACCCATGTGCTTCATTGTAAAACTCGACCGCCCCAACCAGTGGGGCACACGCGTGGACCTGACGAAGCTGTAATTCTACATTGTCCTTCTAAAATTGCTAATATTATGCATTGAAAGGTTTCTGATGTAGTTTGAATGTGGGGGGCAGCATTGGAGCACCACGCCCTGTTCGATGCGTCGTTCATCCAGACAGGCCGTGCATGCCTGGGGAAATTCCATATACCTTTTTGGCACTAGTACTCGGTTCCTGTTATATCCCATACATATTCGTGGCCTTAGAACTAATATTCTTTAATTTTTTGCAGTGCATTGTTGCAATAGGCTTCACAAAGCAACGCTGAACGCCACGGGCACCCTCCTCTCTGGCTAGTCGGCAGTGCTGGTGGCGTTCTGCTGCAAGTTAGGGAGGCTACCAAGACCTCCTCTTGCACCAGCTGCCTCTGTAGAGACCCCTAAGCCTGGTTCTGCAGGTTTAGGAAGCCAACATCCGCCGGCTTCATTTTTTTGTCTTCCAGAAGGTGAAATCGATGACCCTCCGCCTGTTTATGGATCTTGAACCACCCTAAGAGGTGACCTACCATACTGGAACGATCATGTGGCAGCTCCACGATGGCAGTACAACGAATACTTCACCTTGTGGCTGGACTTACGTATTTACTTCTTGAATTACCTGCTGAAGTGCGCGCCGCTTTTCCGGACAATGACCGTGGTAAGTTTAAAACAAGCTTGCCGCGCTTGCTCAAGGATTCGAGTATTTTCCCTTTTAAACGCCTCGATATACGCATCACACCGCTCGTGGGGTCCTGGTGGGATGAATATGGCTCTGCTTTCCCCCATTCGTCGTTGCTATCGTTGTCCTCCGTTGTGAGCACATTCGTGTGGAGTGTTTGTGTGTACTTGCCGTAGTTCGCTCTGCAGAAGACCACGAGAATGGAGGTCCGCAATGTAAGCTTCGCGGAACCACAACCATTGATCGCCAATGCAGTTTTGTGTGCGAGGAGACCTGGCATCGCATGGCAGCCACTCACTTTCTTGTCTGCTCCGACCCTTTGGCGTGCTTTACCCAATTCTGGGGAGGTCAACAACTCAGAAGCCAGCCCCAAGTACACTCATCGATGTTGAAAAAGCTCCGGCACAACTGTTCCTTCAGTGCGTACCCACGATGGTTGCTTAAGTTCTGAATTACACATACTTGTAGGGGGCTGCTCAGCGCCAGCTGCACCTACGGGCTCTCGTAAGCTCCCAAATTATGAGAGCTCGTTTCGGGATTCTAGCTGTCGTAAGATCGCTTCTGCAAATTCTCTGACGGGTGATTGGGGGGGGCGCAAGGCTTCGAGCTGTGGCGTGCGTGTTTTGGCATTATACAGGTGCTCGACCAAGCTTCGCCCCACAAGAGCAATACTGTAAGTTTGAAAAGGACGCCACTATCTGCACCCCAGCATAACTCTTCACCCACTTTATGCCCCTTCCTACGGAATTAGCTCATGTTTCATCCCTGTACTGCTTCCTGGATTCGTTGTTGAGGTATTAGTGAACCACCGCACATGCTCAACGGGTTTGTGCTTTCCAGATGGGTATCAACAATTCTCTTTGGATCAACTGAATTCTGGTGTAGCCTTCGGAGGAGAGGCACTTTGCAAGGAAAAAGAGCTTCAAGTCGTGGATTTCGTCTCGGGGCATCCCTCTGCCTTTCTGGGCGGAGGTGGGGGCTGCATGTTGTACTCTCAAGCCGAAGAGGTAGCTTCCGCTTGTCAAAAAGATAAGGAGCTAAACGGCAGGATATACTGCGTGTTGGGAATGGACGAGCTCCCTGAAAAACCTGATTTGTCTGACATATGTGACTCTCCTCCATCGAATTACTATCAGTTTGTCCTATTTTATGACTGCGTCCCATGTGAGCCAGTAGCCTATCTTGTCCCAGACATGCCACGCAGCTGTTCCACTTTGTTCACCGCAGGCTCCAACTGGCTGTTGAAGTTCCAATTTTTGTATGTGAACCCTAAGCCGAAACCCTATACCTAAACCGTATGGATCTTCTCATTAGTGTATCCTGTACCGTGCCTGTGCGGTGTCTTCTCCACTAGCGAGCTATGTTCCTCCGTGCGGAGTGGAAACCACAACGTCATGGGACAGTGGTACAAGCTCCTGCAGCTGCCCCACTGGCACAATTCCCTGTACGGCAGAGGAGGCAAAGTCAAGCGATGCGTGGATGGAGGAACTAGGGAAGAACGCAGAAGTCTACATGGCCAACGCAATCCGCTATCTTGCCCCTGAGAATCATTTCGAGGTTTTCGCCTCTTCGAAAGACCCATGCAGGGACACTTCTGCACGGGCGCTGTGCAGACGTAAGTGTATTGCGTAGGGAAAGTGCTTTGTCACCACGTTATTCACCACCACCTGGTTGCACGAGTAGACTTTGTCACCTGAGTAGCGCAGCACACATAAAACCTACTCTTTGTGGGGTTGCTCTTGGTCCAGAATTTCGTTTCTTGAGCTTCTTATCTGACCGTTGCAGGCTCTGGAGGGCAAATAACAACAACGACAACGACTGCTCCGAAGCCCTTTTTGGGTTCGTTTAAGGTTTCGTTAGAAAGCATACCCTTCCGCAGTCCTAAGCCCCTGAACACCTCCCGTATTTGGAGGAACTCCACGGATTTATTGGCTATTTTGCAACCATCCAGAGCGGTTCACGGCGTGTACTTCGCTGTGTTGCGTCACTGACTGTCCAGGAGACTCTGGTCCTGATTGCTTTAGAGGGAACGATCAGCCGTTCTGCAGAATACCGTGTTTGACTCTTTGGAGGCAGTATCACAGAAGTCACCAGCTACGCGATTCATACGATTCGTTCACAAGCCTTTGGAAGACCTACGACTTTAGTCAACTTCCATCGGTCGACCCAAGTTCCATAGCTCGGGTCAAAGCGTGCACATTCGGTCAGTTTTTGTAGCACCTCCATAGCGTGAGGTTGCTGTCCTAGTGAAGAGTGCATGCAGTTTCTCCCTTGCATCGTCTGCACACCCAGCAGGGATCTTCTGAAGCAAAGGACTGCCCTCATTGCTGTTCGTGTCAATAGCAGCTGCACTCCTCTCCATTTGGAATAGTGGTTTCACGCATTACTGGGTTTTGCTTTTCCGCAGAGAAACGTTGGGAATATGAAGGAGCTGCCCAGAGCGGTCAGTTTCACGGCAACAAGCCGCTGCTGTCACAAGGGCGATGCTCTGCCAAAGCAATCACAAGAGGGAGAGGGAGCTTTCTGTTGGTCCTCCTGCTGTTGAGTGGGGCTACAGTGATTCAGATTCAAAGACTCATTCTTAGCTCTGCTGTTCTTTTCAGAGTTTTACGAGATACTGTACGCTGGAAGCTCCAACTTACTGAGGCTTCAAAACAAGTGCGAGAATTATGAGCGGTTTTCGCTCGTGCAAGTTGTTGCCGGGCCGAGGGAGCTGCTTGAAAACGGAAGGTCGATCACCGGTTGCGCCGCAATGGATATCACGGATAGTGTCAGGAGTTCGTTACCTGAAGCCTTTGGAACTGGAGACGTGCGGAATTATGCAGTGTCTCTATCGGGACTCAAAACGACTCTGGACACCTGCACTGAGGCCGGGGCTTCTTACTTTGTTTCTTGGAGCTGTGTCCCGAGTAGGTGTTCCGTGTCTTGTTCAATGCTCTGCTTTGTTTTGTTGAGCTGAAAACACGTTTTGGACGCAGAAAGCATTCTAGCAGAAAACATTTCACAGAAGCGTTTCAGTGCTTGCTTGGATTCTTCAGATGTAACCATGGCGTCGGAGTCCGTTCCTTTCTCCTGTAACATCTATCCTGTAATGACAAAAGCGCAGGATACCAACTTTCACTCTTGCGCATGCCCGAATAGCGCTAAAACTTGCACGGCTAATGCGGCAGCTGTCAGCCGGAGCTGGATTGCAAACACTCCACAGAGTGCGACTGTTAGTCTGGCAGATTACCTTGTCTACAAGACTCCCGAATCCGGAACTGGTTCGTTGGTTTTGATGGCTGATCTGGGTACTGTCTGCGGGGACACAGGATCTTCGTATGTATTATGTGAGGGTAAGCTGCGCACAGTACTTTAGATCTCTTTAAGGGCCCGCGTCTCAAGACTCGTGGAGTTAAGCGTGTTGATGTTTCACGCTTAGAGGCTTTCAACGCAGATGCGCACGATTCGATGGAGTGGTTGCTTCTTGTGCTGCGGTCGGATGAGGAATTTGCACTGCGCAGTGCAATGATACATTTACAATAACTATACCTTATACAGTTGTAGATAATTTTTCTACTTTTATAAATCAAGAAGCTAGTATTTCTAATGGAACATCCCAAGGCCATAGTTGTCTGCTGTTGCTGTATGCTGACACAGACGATCACCACGACGAGCAATTGGACCGTTGGCCCATTAGATGTAAGACACGTGATCGCCAACAACGCGGTCTGCACCGAATCGCATGCAGGCTTCAGCACATTTCACCCCAGTAGCTTCGGCTTTGGATACTTCACCTCTGTATATTTGTTATATCTTGCTGGAATTGTGCGTGCAGCCTCATCTTGGAGCGTGACACACTGCTTCCACATACATAGGCTTTGCGTGTGTTGTGGCCGTGAGCTTTATATTTGCAGGGCCATCGTGCGGAAGGGCATTTTCAACTTTGGAGGGAGCGACAGAAGAGGATGACTTGGAATGCCGAAAGGCGTGCACTGCAAAAAGTAGTGGAGAATGCGGTTCAACTCGCAACATCTGGCTGTGTGTCGCTTTATCTATTCAAGGTTGTTACGTCCCTAATACCAGCTCACTTGCATGCCATATTGAGCTACCTGGCCCTGAAGATGCATATAACGGCACTTGCTCTTGCCCAAGCTCTTCGTCAGGCCCTTGCACCTTCTTAGAGGCCGACGCAACCGCGTATGCGTGGAAATCTAGTTTAGCACAGTTTTGGAGAGGTGCTAACGGAGTCATTATGGCGAAATACAACCGCGCTCTCTGGCCATCAACTCCAGCATCGTGGCGTTACGAAGCAGGGCATCGGTATGACCAATGCGAGAAACGAACGTGGATAAGAGGCGTCTTCTGTATGGGTGAGTTGCTTCTTTGCGCATATACATGCCCCCCCGGCAGTGTAGTTGGCACAGTCTGGCCGAGGCTACGGGTCTTCTTTTGTAATATGTAGTGGCCAAGCTTTTCTGTGTGTGCGAGCCCTGCAGGCCCAGATACGGACTTGATAACGAGGAGAAGTAAGAGCGCAGCTCATCACTTTCACACTAGTTCCCGGTAGTTTTCATTCCCGTAGGGTGCCATGGGTTTTAAGCTTGTTCATTGCTCACACAGGTTCCCTAGCACCAGACTGCAGTACCGCAGCGACGCTGAATCACTGGAAGGCAACCACTTCTTACTGCAAGTACCTTTGTGGGAATATTGAGTGGAGGTGCCGCTTCACCATGGTTGACAACCCGACCTTGTACAAGGACCTTTACCAGTGTTTTGAGCGGCTAAAGGTTGGCACCGTTCTGGAGTTTTGCCATGTCAAAACGAGTGAGCCGCTGAACCTGAGTGGCTGCATCGGTGTTTTCCCTCGCGACTAAAACTTCCTTCAATCGTGTGGCGCGTTTGTTGAGGGGAGAAGACTAGCTACGCGCTATGCCAGTGCACTGTGTTGTGAATGGTTTCAGCTCCCCAAACGCCTACAGCTGGAGGTATGCTCGGCTAGAGAGAACTGGGAAGGGCCCGACTAACTTGCTGCGGCATGCTGCTGCCGCTGTAGTGTTATATCTTAGATACATAGTTCAAACTTTTGTGTTGCAGCCACTTGGATGCTGTTCGCCTGCTGCAGCTGCGAATATGGCGGTATCGTGGATGCTGGCCAGCGGCACGGAAACAACTGTTCGGTTTGCCCAGCCAGTCTATCCCACACCGATTGTCTTCATAGGGTCGCCTACGCATATAGCAGGTATACCAAGGCTGGGCATCTCCGAGGTTACGTCCGACAGCTTCAGGGTCCAGGCTTTTGGAGTCGTATGCGGCGGTAGGCCACATCCTATGCATTACCCGAGCACCCTTAACCAACACACACGACGGTGGGGCTGCTAACGCCTCTGTCGCCTTGCCTGATGCAAATCTTGTATGCTTGCGTTGAATGTGTGTTTCCTTCTTCCCTCAGTTCGACCTACGGCAGCTTCGTCCGATCTGAAAATTGTGGCCAGCTACCTAGCCATCCCTCCAGGGCAATATGTCACAAAGCATGCTTCTATTCGACTTGTGGTCGGAAGCCTCGAAATAACTGCTGCAGGAGATTTTCTGTTGCGCGTCCCATTCACATTGGCTAATCCTTCAGAGGTGCGGTGATGATGGCCTGTGTTGCTTGTCAGCTTCGGCGGATAGCGGTTTCGTCTTTCGAAGGGTACTTTTGAAGGGTCAGGTGGAAACCTTTCCAGTCCTTTAGATGCTTGCAAAGCTATACACATTGTCTTCATTGGAGAAACCGCAATGTTTCTACGTGAGTGTATCCTCAGGCAGTTGTCCTTCTAGAACCTCAATCTGCCATTGGGAAATCTCCCAATGCAATTGCAGCTGCAGCTGTGTTCCGCACAATTGAGAATAACACGGATGGAATCAAAATTCGCGTTTCATGCGTAGAGCCGTTTGTGTCGATCTCCGTGGGTTACTTGATTGCTGATATGTCCTACGACAGCTCTTCAAGCAGCCCACTTGCTGCGTCGCTAGGAGGACGTTCATTGGCTGTGAGTTGAAGGGCCAGCTGCTTTAGCTGGCCTGCGTGCAAATAGTTTATTTATAGCCGCCGATATGCACGCCTGTGCCCGATACAACTTTGTACTGCCCCACAGTGGATCGTTGTTACATTTGGCGGGACTGCGGAAACGGTACTATGTGGTTCGAAGGCAAACAGCTCTGAGTTCTTTGTGCAGATCTTTAACTCGAGGGAAGTCGATCTGGATGATATACATTTTCCAGCAAATTTGCCTTCTTTTTTCCCACCCCACTTTTTCCCGCAACTTGCTGGAGAAAGGCCTGACAGTGAGGAAGTTTTTTCTGTACAGTGGCAGCACAAGGAAGACGGCCGTGGTTGGATCCCTTCAGTCTGGGCTTCCTCATGCTCTGTGACGGAGGACGTTTTGTTCAAGGTTCCTAATTCGACTATACGGTTTACAGGCCTGTACATCTCTGCCAGTAAGAAGCCAGAAAAAGACTTTTGGCATGTGAAAGCTTGCTGAGCACGGGGCAAATAAGCAGTGGAATGAGGGCTTTGAGCCCATGCCGTGTGAACAAATAGCCATTTCACTCCTCTTAGGTTAGAACCTGACCTTTAAAGCAAAGGGGTGCAGGGTACTCGGCCTTACGCTGGGATTGACTAAACAGCACTGGTGTAAGTGCGTTGTGCTGCTGCAGTTAACCAGTTAAGCGGAACATCATGTAAGCGCAGACGAAGCGCTTCACCGGTTTCTCTTCAAAACCACATCAAACGTAGTGGCTGTATTTCCAAAATAAACTGTACATCTTCGTGGTCAGATATCGTTTGTGTATTGCTGTGCATGCTCAGTTTCGAGCAGCATCTGCAATGTCAAGGCCGTTCAGGTGAATACGCTTCCCACTATCGAACAACAGGAGTAGGAGGAAGTTGTTTCCGCAAGGAACTGATGTTTGAATTGAAGTGGTAACGGTTCTCTTTGTGCCCAGGGCAGTTCATTGACGGACGAGGAGTGCACCGAAATTTGCTCTGGGATATATCTCTTATATTGTTCGGCCTCATCGCATCCTCTGCTTTGCCTTGAATGGCGTATGCCTTCGAGCTTTTCCAAAGACTGCAATTCTCCTAGTGGGTAACTGGAATTCTCTTGCAGAACAGCACTAGGAGTAGCGGTTGTTCCAGAGAATCCCCCGCAGCGTTGTCGACCTTTGGTGGAAGAGTTCATAGTCGTGTCCCGGTTAGTTCATTCGCAGCACCGCAGCAGAGTCTGGATAAAGATGAATTGCACGGGATCTGAAGTTGTGAACTTTGTAACTCGCCTCGTAGGACCTGCGGAATAGTGATGGAATTATGATAGACCACTGTAGAGCAGTTCCGTGTGACGCAGCTGAAAACCGTCCACCTGACGACATCTCCGAGGAAGCAGATGTTGGGGAAGGTAAGCAACTGCCCCAAGACTCAAAGGCTAAACGCTGAACCTTATGTGTCAAACCCTAGATTCTACGCCCTAAACCCTAGAACCGAAATCATGATGGCTAACTTTTGTTGGGCCAAAGAACAGGCGATTAATATGAACGACTTCCAAAGAAGTGATGCGGAGTTTCGTTGTTTTGCAGCTGTGGAGGAAGGCTTGCCGCTGGTGAAGTGTCGCGTTTTCGACATGCGAACGCACCCATCTAACCTGGCGTGGGACTCTGCCTCTTTCACGTGTGGGTGCCCTGGCCTTGCCGTGCCGTGCACCAAAGAGGATGCGTCGCAAGATTTGACATGGGTGCAGGAAATACATGCTGAGGGGGGCCTTTGCCACTCTGCGGAGGAAGCAGTGCAGCCAGTCACGAAGATGTTCTTGCAGCTTGACCAGGATGCATGTTCGGCCAACATGCTGCAGTCCCATACCTTGACCTGGTCTCAAAGAACATATCCAGCTTATCCAGATCTTCCGGGAGCTGGGTCTGGACCTCAGTCAGTCAGTGGCACATACCTGTGTCAGCACACTACTCCGTATGTGCTCTGTCCAGGTGAGGATTTAACTACGACAGACGGCTGAAGGTAATGCTGCTGATACAGTAGTGCTGATGCTTGTGGCATTCCTCACCCGCAGCTGAGAATGCTGAGCATGTACATTGCCCCAAAATTAATTATTGTCTTTCTGTTGCAGCGGATGCCGCCGGAGTGGCGGACGAGGAGGAAGAGACCTCACGCATCATCAAACACCTGCCATCTTCTTGCTTTGTAGGGGAGTGGGGGGAATGGTCTGCTTGCGACGCAACGTGCCGGGGCCCCTTTCATTCCCCTCAGCGGTACAGAAAACGCAGCCCCATTGTTGTTGAAGCTGTTGCTGAAGACCCAGACTGCATTTTGGAAGAAAAGCAGAGCTGCGGCCATTCCCTCGAACCGTGCGTAGGCTACTGCTGGACAGCTGAGTGGACAGAGTGGAGCAGTTGCTCGGCTGTATTATCTGGAGGGGAGATTTCTTTCTCGCGGCGGCGATATAAGCCGGTTTTAGCTGGCGTAGATTACTGCGACATGGAAGCCATTCAAGAACTTCAATCATGTTTGAGACGTGAGGAGAGCATGCACGGGCATGCTTGCCTTTTTGTATTGGCTTAACTATCGAAGCATGTAGTAGAGTTGCTTCCCCCAGTCGTCTGACACCCCTATACGTCTATTGATCACGCTGCAACTACACTAGTATGTTATTTCGTTGTACAGAGACGGTTAAAGGACAGTCAACTGAAGAGGAGGGCTTTGCAAGTGCTGGTTTCGCTGAAGTGTCGGCATCCGGGGCCATAGAAATATCAGAGTGGTCCGGGTGTGATGTTCCGTGAGTCTGCACATCATTGGCTCTTGATTTATGGGCGGTGACACTTCATGTATGCACCACTAATGTGTGGGGATCTTAGGGAGGACCGTAAGATACTGTTGCAGACCCAGCGCAGAAGACAGAGCGTAAAGCATTTATTATTATTATATTATTATGTATCATTTGTTCCGGTAGATCCTTCAGTTACCTGTGACTCAGGTGCTTACTATCAGAGGGCCATGCGGCGCAGAAGCGGAGGCTTCAGTTAATCAGCGAGACAAAGGAAATTTCTGGTTCGAATTTGGTTTCACCCATTCAGCACGACCAGCCAACATCTTGTAGCTCTGAGTTGCAAATTCTCGAAAGAGGTGTCGTGCAGTGGATATGCACAGTATGCCAGCGGGTGCAACTTGCATAACTGCTCGTGGAAGAATCTGGTTTCTTGTTTCCTGTCTCAGCCGTTACCACATCATCTGACGCTTCAAGGCTGTGCTCAACTGCGGATGGAATGGATGAGTGCAAAAATCTTTTTATTGACACTCGTAAGAAAATCGATTCATCAGGATTTGTTGCCTGAGTGCGCTACCAGGTGGCACACCGTGCTGCTCTTTGTATACCTTTGTCTGCTTTTCAGAATGCTCAGATGTGGTGGCGACTTACCGAGAACCTGCGTCTTTACGAAACTGCGTTGATAAGTGCAAAACCGTAGAGGCAAAGTGCAGGACCTTGTCTTCACAAGATGCTCTAAAGACACCTTTCAAGAGATGCTTCCTGAATGGGCTCTCTGATGCTGGCTTCTTCCTCACCTGCAAGTTTGCAGAGAAGCAGAAAATATGTACGGCATACGTAGACAGTGTTCAATCTCTCCCGCCCATAAGTTTTGGAACATATAAGGCTTGCGCGCTGCACGGCTGGTGTCTGGATGTTTGAGATTTGAGATCTTCCTGAAGTTACAATCCGTTTAACCGGTAGTCCAGCAGCTCAGTGGGAAACGCATTTGCGCCCTGCATTCGAATTTATTTCTTTCTGTGCAGCACGACCGGCAACTTGCAGGCTAACGTTTACCAGAGTCGTCAACCCGGACGCCGAATTCAGTTTCCTCACAGACAGTGCTGCAGAGGGAGCTCCAGCAGAGTCACCGGGAGGGCAGTCATTCATTGCCCCTAGCTGCGCATGCTTGGATGAAGGTCTTGAGCCGTGCACAGCGGAAGATATATTGGAAGACTGGAAAGGCATCAAAGATTCATTTTTGGCTGCCGACGGTCTGTGTTCAGCAGAGGATGCACTCAAACCGCTGTGGGCCACAACCGATGGGAAAAGTAAACTCCCAGATTCAAGTGTCTATATTGCATACGCGGGTATGGGGCGTTTCCATTGCCCACTGCCGGGTTACAGAAACCCTTCAGCTGAGGACCTTTTCACCTTCACGCAATTCCACAGCCTGGCGGAGTTGAATGACTTCTGTCAAAACGGCCTGAGCTACTGGAAGGACCCAGCGAACCCTTTAGTATGTAAGTGGACTGTCAGATAGCTTAGCCCGCACTTAGGTATCGGGTAATCTGAAAGCTTCAACAGTTCATTAGTGAGGTGTCTCGTTGTTACGCATAGCCTCTTCTTTGTCTGGCTGCATGATGACAGCTTTTTGCTGAAATCAAATGCTCTGCATCACCGTATTACTACTGCAAAATCAACAGATGCAAGAATACCAGATTGCTCGAAGGCTATTGCGAAAACTCCCCACGGAGTGGAACCGGCGGAAGCAGACACCGCAGCCTGCAAGAAGTTGTGCTTAGAGCTGAAGGACACCTGCAAGGATCTTTTGAAAAAGGAATCGTACGACGTGTGTCTAATAGAGCCATTCCAGTCTTCAGAGTTCACTGACAAATGCGCATTCACGCAAGGTAAGGAATAGAACGGATACAACACCGGATGACATGTTTGTATATTGTCTGTATATGCCTCGATTGCTTGTCTCTATTTGTGTATCTTTTCCGCTACGTTTTGCCATTCTTTGTATGGGCTTATTTGCGTCTATTTGCATGTATTCGTATGCTGTCTCTTGTTGTTCCGCGTTTGAAGGGAACATATATCAAGGAACGCATTCTGTTTGCGTTGTTGCTTTGCAGGGGTAGCTGCTGGGAGGGGAATGATTTTATGCAGGCGTAAGCTTGAACTCTAAGCTTACCTGCTTGTGTTTCATTTAACGTCTTTCGTTTTAATTGGACATTTGCGTTGATGTGTGTGGGTTCACAGAAGTGAAACCGAAGTGTGAATTCACCGAGTGGAGCGAATGGTCGGCTTGTACAGCGAGGTACGACGTAATACTAGCGATTGTTAGTATTTGGATTCAGGCCAGTACATGCTGAAGAGTCAGAACATGCTTTTAAAACGGCTAGTTATAGCCACTCTATTGTTTAATAGAGTTTCATAGCTGATATGAAACGCAAAATGGGTGAGGCTGATATGCGGTTTGCACGTGTGGACGCAGCTGTATTTCGAGTATCGCAGGAAGCGGCTCGGCAATGCGAATACGGACCCGCGACATTCTTGAAGATGGAAAGAAGTCAGCACACTGCAGTGAATTTTCTTTCTTTGGTGAGGATTTTTTCAAAGCCGCTTTCATGTCTTCATCTACAGCTAACATTTGCAATCATCAGATGACAGTGAAGGAGGTGGTGTCGTTGACGACCTCAACTCTGCGTTTGTTCAATTTTTTGAGGCTGTGCTTTGCGTTCCACAGGCACAGTGGAGACAGGCCTTTGCCCTGATATTCCTCTTTGCAGTACGTTTGGCCCGCACGAAGTGTTCATGTACTCAACATTGCAAATGCTGCATTTAGGTGCACGACAGTCGGAGCGTCTCTTGTTTAATCGCTAGAAATGGGGTGATGGGGTGATGAGTCGGGGGGGTGTGTGAGGGAAACGCGCGTTCAGACGCTGGAATACGTTTCTATAGAGTTCACAATTTCGCGTGTGCGCATTTCTTATTTCATTATGCTTTTCTCCCCCAAGTATCTTTGTGCGAAAGCGGCATATGTTGGACGAGATTTTCGCATTCTTTCTCTCCAGACACCACCGAAGGAGCAACAGTGGAGTTAATACTGTTCACGACAAAAGCTCCACCGAAAGTTGAGCCGATTAAGTTCCAGACGTCATCTACAACACGCCGCCCTCAAGACCTAGATGCCCCGCCTGCTAATATGACTCTGGAGCAGTGCTCTATTGAGACAGTGGATGTATCGCGAACATTGAGTGCCTACGATTTGTCAGTGAGTTTGTTTCCTTGAAATGGCGATGAAGTTTTGTTTGCTAAACAGTACAACTAAGCCCCGGGAGGACCCAGTGATATACACGAGTGAACGCCAGTTTCTTGCGGTGTTGTTGAGTGGTTTTAATCAATGAGTGCTTATCACATGTCGTATTTTGAGAGTATTGCGTTGCACGCAGGCGGACTCCTGCTCTTGCCCTCACGGTTACCGGCCTTGCTATCGTAAAGAGGCTTTTCTGTCAGTAGACAACTGGATCAATGAAGCGTATGCGTTATGCGCCGCCACCTCGAGCGCCATAATTGGCACGCGTCACTTTTATGAATTCAGCTGCGTGCACAGGGGATTCGTAGACTCCAGTGCTTTCAGTTCCTCTACCTCCGTCAAGGAGAAAGAAACCTACTGCTCCAAGCTGAGATACATCTTCTGTGCAAGTGAGAAGGAACACAACGAAAGATCTACAGTGGCGGCTGCTGTATACACCGCGATCCACCCCCTCATTCAGCTCACAGCGAAGTTCCATTATTACTCCAGTTCAATGAATACACCCGAAACGCGCAACACGCACCAAACGCCACATCCCAGGCACAGGAAATGTTAGAACTCGAAGTGCAGGCCCGAGACCCTAGACCTTTAATTGTTCACCGGCACGCTTGAGCCCTACAGTTGAATAAAATAATATCCGATAAAGCACAATCTCTTTTCTGAATTGGAAGAGTGAAAAGGAGGCAATTGCCGATGCGTTCTGGGGGTTGCAGACACTTGCGCTCCTCAGCCTGATGATCCTCCATGATGATGAGGAGGTTTATGTACGTCTTGTTCTTTTGCTTGTGGGTTATTAACGTGTGTTCTCAGAAAATGAGAGCAGCGAGGACGCCGAGCACAGCCTAACATTCGTGATTGCATCACTTTGCCTAGGTGTCGTTGCGGGCTTAGCGGTTGCATATTTGTCGCTGCAGTACAGCATCGATCTCCAGAAACTTGTGGGGCTGAGAGGCCGATATGTAGCAGCCACTCTGGAGCTGCAGCAACTCCAGGAGATGAGAGCGGGGAATGAAGAGTCGCCGCTGCTTAGGCCTTTTTCCGCAAGGCAGCAACGAAGTTTTTCATACGATCTTCGCGAACATGACAGTGCAGATGCAGCAGATGCAGCAGATGCAGCAGATGCAGCAGATGCAGCAGATGCAGCAGATGCAGCAGATGCACTAGGTGCAGCGGATGCAGTGGATGCAGCAGGTGCAGCAGATGCAGCAGATGCGGCGGGTGCAACAGGCGCAGGGGATATAGCAGGTGCAGCCGATGTAGCAAATGTGTCAGATGCAGCAGCTGCTGCAAATGCGTCAGATGCAGAAGCTGCATCTTCTCCAGACATCGATGCAGCGGCGAAGAAGGAATTGTGAATGGGATAGAAAACGCTCAAGTGCCTCAGCCAGGCTAGCGAATCTGAATTCCATGATCATGATCGTTGACTCTTTTGTCCCTTTTGGCGTCGCATCCTACATTATAAATATTTGCACTATAATTAATTAATTAGTTTAATTAATTAATTAATTATATGCGGTCTAACTATTGTAACGGCGGCAAAAAGACGCAGCGAGACGCTCCCCCCGGTCCGGTTTTTTGTTTAGAAGAAGGAAGCGTCCCTGAGTATTTTGATGCATGTTTTCATGATGCCATTACAGCTTTATACATATATCTATACGCATATATAAGCATTTATTAATATCATAGATATATATGTATATATATTTTTTCATATATATACGTATTGTATCATCTGCACATGCCATCTATATATATATATATATTTATATGCATATACAAAAACATATATATATATATATATATATACATTACAATCATGCATGCAATAGTTTGCTGTTCTTCTTGGGTTGTCATACATAACGGTAGTAATAATAATAATGATTAGTGCTTTCTTCTCCAGTGTCTAGGTTGGTCAGTTAATTCTTTCTTTCCTCTTCTCGCAATCGGAGTTCAGACTGGCGGCATTGGCCTCATTAAAAATACGGAAACGCTACACTGCCCTTTTGCTTACATGAAAACAAGTATGCATGTACATATATATATATATATATATATATATTATATGCCATGCACCTATAGAGGTACATAGATATAGATTCTTATATATCCGCATATAAAATATGTGTATATACATTACATATATATATATATATATACAGTCAAACACATACAGATGATATACATACATGTATAACACACATACGTATAATATATATATATATATATATATGTAGTAAAGGGTAGGTAGATTAAGTTCTGTTTCAGCTGTAGATGTAAGCAATGCGTGTTGTGTGCATAGACAAGCAAAATAATACGCCTTCTGTTTTCTGCCGATGCTGTTTAAATCTCATGATTAATAATACACGAAGAGCATAATTAGAGGACGAAGTACAGTAAACAGAAAACAAGAACAAAAGCCGTGTTAGACGGGCGCAACAACATCAGCAGCAACAACAACCGAAGCAGCACCAGCAACAACAACCGCAGCAGCAGAAGCAACAACAAAAACAACAGCAGCAGCAGCAGCAGCACTGGCCTGTGACTTCCGACTTGTGCTACAAAGGAATTAACAAAAATAACAGGCGAAATAATATCGAAGGGGCAGTTTTATTCTCCCTCCTTCAGCCTTCATGTACCACTGACACTGCACCAGAAGGGTCCGGGACTGATTATGTGGATTCTAATGAAAAGACAGTTGAGATAAACGGCTGTCTTAGTTTCAGCGTTTCTTTTGCTGCAGCACCTGCTGCAGGGCAGCAAGCTCTGCAGCAATGCATGCATTGTATACAATGCCTGCATGCATCGTACAATGCGTGCACGCATTATGAATGCATGCATTGTATAATGCATGCATTATACGTATGCATGCACTTGCAACACGAAGGCAATTGTGAAGAGCTTGTTACTTGACCCTCAACAACAAACGCCAGATAGTGAGTATAATTACACATTATGCATATAATAATGTTTTAAACAAACCTGCCTTCAGTTAGGGTGCGTCGAGCCCTCCAGCAGCCTAGTACTACAAGTTCCTAGTGTACGTACACCCCAAAAACCGATAAATAAATAAGTAAATATATATATATATGCGATCTCTATCTGATAATAAGTATATCAAATACATGATATATTATATATATATGTATATATATATACATATATATATATATATATATATATATATATATATACTGCGCTCAACAGAGCGCGCAGCAT